TGGGCCCCACCCTCACAGTTTATGGTTCTGTAAGTGTGGGGTAGGGCTCAGGAATTTCTAACAACCGATGCAGATGCTGTTGGTCTGGGGATACATTTTTTAAAATTATTATTGTGGCAAAATATACATAACACAAAATTTACCATATTAACTATACGTATATATTTTTTTGTGAGGAAGATTGGCCCTGAGCTAACATCTGTGTTAATCTTCCTCTATTTTATGTGGGGTGCCACCACAGCATGGCTTGATGAGTGGTGCTAGGTCCATGCTGTGCCTGGGATCCGAACCTGCAAACCCTGGGCTGCTGAAGCAGAGCACACAAACTTAACCACGATGCCACTGGACTGGGCCCGACCATGTTAACTATTTTTAAATGTACAATTCAGTGGCATTAAGTATATTTTCAGTGTTGTGCCACCATCACCATTATCCACTTTCAGAACTTTCTCATCATTCCAAACAGAAACTCTGTACCTATTAAACAAAAACTCTCCCTTTCGCCCTCCACCCCTCCCCTGGCAAACCTCTATTCTACTTTCTGTTTACGAATTTGTCTACTCTAGGTACCTATATGAGTGGAATTGTACAATTCCATTGTTTGTATATACTACATCTTATTTATCCGTTCGTCTATAGATGTACATTTGGGTTGTTTCCACCTTCTAGCTACTGTGAATAATCCTGCTATGAACATTGGGGTACAAGATCTGTTTGAGATCCTGCTTTCTATTCTTTGGGATATATAGCTAGAAGTGGATCATATAGTAATTCTATGTTTAACTTTCCGAGGACCCACCATACTGTTTTCCACAGTGACTGCATCATTTTACATTCCCACCAGAAATGCATGAGGGTTTCAATTTCTCCATGTTCTTACCAACACTTGTTCTTTTCTGCTTTTTAAAATAATAGCCATCTTAATGGGTGTGAAGTGGTTCTCATTATAATTTTTATTTGCACCTCCCTAATGAACTGGGGCACATTGTGAGAATGATGATCTGTAGTTCCCTGAACAGACAGTATTATTTACAACTTCATGCTTTCACTCTGCTAGTCACTCTGCCTTGAATCATCCTTGGTTTCCTCTATAACTCTGGTTCATCCTTTAAGTCACAACTCAAATGTCATCTGTGAAAGCCTTCTCAGAACCTCTCGGTTGGGCTAGTTGACCTCAAAGAACCCCTGAGAGGCTCAGGCCCCAGGAGCACCAGGTGCTATGCAAGGTGGGCAAGGCAGAGTGGGGAGAGTAAAGCACTGGACTAAAAGCAACTGATTTGGTTGAAAGTCTGTACAGGGAGCTGATGAGCCCCAAGAACACATCCCCCATGGCAAACGGCCAAGTGGCAGCTACAGAGGTCCCACCACTTGGATTTCCCTATAAGACTGAGTTTGCCATTCAGCTGCCAAGAGTGCAGTTACCTGACAGCCTCAGCCTACAGAGCCTGCAGTCTCCACCTCACTTCTTTCTGAGCAGCCTCCAGCCCATGACTGAGCATAACGGTACACCTGGCATTTCTGTCCAGTGTGGGACTTTGCAGCACTGACCACATGCTGGATAACAGCTATGCAGCAGACCTAGAATGCAAGTGATATATTCCACCAAATATATGACACCATCAGTTTTAAGAAGCATGATTATTTCATATACCACTAAGAAAAACACAACCTAAAAATTATCCTAAGACATAATAGATTTCCTAATTTCAGAAATGTTGAATAGTGAAGAAGCGTGGGTCTTGGTATCAATTAAACACAGTAGTTCAGATTGGAAGATGGAGGGCTCCAAGAGTTAAGTCCCCAAGAATGAAATGAAATTCAGGTGGACGCCAGCCCTGTAGCTGAGTGTTTAAGTTCCTGTACTCCACTTTGGTGGCCCAGAGATTGCTGGTTTGGATCCTTGGCATGGACCTACACACCATTCACCAAGCCATGCTGTGGTGGCATCCCACATAGAACTAGAATGACTTACAACTAGGATACACAACTATGTACTGGGGCTTTGGGGACAAAAAAGAAAAAGAGGAAGATTGGCAACAGACATTAGCTCAGGACTAATCTTCCTCAGCAAAAATAATAATAATATATATGAGAATATCTTTAAAAAAATGAAATCCAGGGATTATCTGAAATATTTGAGCATTTAGGAAGGAACTTATTAACTACGACAGAACTGATGGAAAAATTAAAGATAGCACTTAGAAAAGAGAAAAGAAAAATGAAACAATTACTAACTCCAGGAAAAACCAAAGTTAAGAATTATAATAATAACACTATTCTTGACTCTATAATAAAAAATACATATTTAATTACAATATAAAATACTAACTCAATTTAATTAAAATTTAATGTGGTTTTACCGTTTTGGGAAGATTGGAAGAGAATGGGAAGTTGGGGGGATAGCAAGAGAGGTAAATTCTCATCTATTATTACAAGAAGTTGATAATAAGAGCAGTATAAACATGCCACTTAAAAACATAAAAAGAGATGTCAGAATGGGGGAATATGATGGTGGAAGAGAAGGCTATGCAGAAAAGGAAAATATCAAGGATGACTACGATGACTACCAGGTTCCATTTATTAAAATAGGGACCACCAGGGCCTTAGGATCATATTGAGATTGAAGTGCTCCAAAGGCATCAATTTGCAAATATCAAGTAGGCAATTGGATACATGAGATTTCAAACTGGAGATCAGAAGCTCAGAAAAGAGATCTTCGCTAGAGATAAGAAATTGAAATTTGAAAAGACAAAAAAAGATGGTAATTGAAGCCATGGGAGTAGACGGCATTTCTCAAAAGGGTTTTAGAATTCCTGTGGTAGGGGTGGGATGGAAGCCAGATAGCAGCAAGTTGAGTACAAAGCAGGTGAGGAAAGGCAGACAGCTTTCAAAGGCCCCTTGGAGACTAAAAGCTTTCAACATAACTCAGCCAATTTCTTTATTTTTAAGGTTGCTCTTAACTTTAAGACTTTATTTTTTTAGAGCAGTTTTAAGTTTACCACAAAATTGAGAGAGAAGTACAGAGATTTACCATGCATTGCTTGTCCCCACATACGCAGAGCCTCCCCCATTATCAACATCACTCACCAGAGCGGTACATTTTTTACCAAGGATGAACCCACACTGACATATCACAATCACCCAAAGTCTGTAATTTACCTTAGGGTTCACTCTTGGTGGTGCACATTCTATGGGTTTGGACAAAGGTAGAATGGCATACATCTAGCATTACGTTATCATACAGGTATTCACGCTGCCCTAAAAATCTTCTGTGCTCTGCCTATTCATCTTTATCCTCCCCACCCGGCAACCACTAATCTTTTTAGTGTCTCCAGTTTTCCCTTTTCCAGAATGTCACATAGTTGGAATCATACAGTATGCACCCTTTTCAGATTGGCTTCTTCCACTTAGTAACACACACTTCAGGTTCCACGTCTTTTCATGGCTTGACAGCTCATTTCTTTTTAGGGCTGAATATTTCACTGTCTGGATGTACCAGTTTATTTATCCATTCACCTACTGAAGGACATCTTGGTCACTTCAAAGTTTTGGCAATTACAAATAAAACTACTATAAACATCCTTGTGCAGGTTGTCGTGTGGACATGTTTCAACTCTTTTGGGTAAATACCAAAGAGTGTGATTGCTGGATCATATGGTAAGAGTATGTTTAGTTCTGTAAGAAGCTGCCAAACTGTCTTCAAAGTGGCTGCACCATTTTGCATTCCCATCAGCAATGCATGAAAGTTCCTATCGTTCCACATCCTTGTCAGCATTTGGTGTTGTCAGTGTTCCAGGATTTGGCCATTCTAATGGGTGAGTAGGGGTATCTTGTTTTTTTAATTTGCATTTCTCTGATGACATATAATGTAGAGCATTAATTTGTTTTTACACTTTTTGTATAAAGCTTAGTGGTTTTTTTTTTTAGAGTTATTGATAGGTTACAATCTTGTGAAATTTCAGTTGTACATTAATGTTTGTCATTCATGTTGTAGGTGCACCACTTCACCCTTTGTGCCCACCCCCCACCCCACCTTTCCCCTGGTATCCACTAAACTGTTCTTAGTCCATAATTTTAAATTCCTCATATGAGTGGAGTCATACACAGATTATCCTTCTCTCGCTGGCTTATTTCACTTAACATAATTCTCTCAAGGTCCATCCATGTTATTGCAAATGGAATGATTTTGTTCTGTTTTGCAGCTGAGTAGTATTCCATTGTATATATGTACCACATCTTCTTTATCCATTCATCTGTTGCTGGACACTTAGGTTGCTTCCACGTCTTGGCTATTGTAAACAGTGCTGCAATAAACATTGGGGTGCATAGGACTTTTGGGATTGCTGACTTCAAGCTCTTTGGATAAATACCCAGCAGTGGGATGGCTGGATCGTATGGTAGTTCTATTTTTAATTTTTTGAGGAATCTCCATACTGTTTTCCATAGTGGCTGCACCAGTTTGCATTCCCACCAGCAGTGTATGAGGGTTCCTTTTTCTCCGCAACCTCTCCAACATTTGTTGCTATTAGTTTTAGATATTTTTGTCATTCTAACGGGTATAAGGTGATATCTTAGTGTAGTTTTGATTTGCATTTCGCTTTGGGTTTTTTTTTACTGTTTTTTCACTACACGTTCCTAATGTCTGTCGAGGTCATCTCCTGAGATCAGACGAACAATAAAGGTAAATCATATTGAGTATAGGGGCTGGCCCCGTGGCTGAGTGGTTAAGTTCTCACGCTCCACTGCAGGCAGCCCAGAGTTTCATTGGTTCGAATCCTGGGTGTGGACATGGCACTGCTCATCAGACCACACTGAGGCAGTGTCCCACATGCCACAACTAGAAGGACCCACAAGGAAGAATATACAACTATGTACTGGGGGACTTTGGGGAGAAAAAGGAAAAAAATAAAATCTTAAAAAAAAAATCATATTGAGTATATTAAAGTTGGAAACAAAAGTACATACCAAAATATGCGCAAGAACAAATGACAGAGAACAAATGACATAGAGCGTTTTTATTTTGTCATCTACTCCCAATGACCAAACTCCTCCAAAGACCATTTGCTTTCAGTTGGTCCATTTTCCACCTGTAGCTTCCTAGCCGCCCTGAGTTCTCACCTCCACTCCTTTATCCCTACTCCTCATCTCCATTTTCTCTAGAGCCACAGGCTACCTCCAAGAAGCATTTTCTTCCCTACACAACTAAGACCCGTGGAGCATCATTTCAGTCATGCTCACTCTCAACTCTCTAGTCATCTCCCCCACCTGGCTTTTCCTATGCCCAGCTCTGGCTCAATCTATTTTTACATATCTCAAAATTCTGAAATTACAGTGTTCAATTTTAGTTTGTGTTTCATTCCCGTTTGGCAAATGCTCTTACTAATTTTAAATCTGCTTACTCTTTCCCCAATCTTCATATCCTCAAGGCCCTTACTCCACTCCTATCCCCTCAACCACCTCTGAGTTTATAACCCTGCTTCCTACTTCACAGAGAAAATAAGTCATCACTCATGCACTGAACCAGAAAGCTTGGCATAATCTTGACTCTTTCCCTTTTCTCAACACAATATCCAATCAGTTACATTTCCAAATCATCTAAAGTCTTTAGGGAAGAGAGGAATTAAGAATAAATAATCAAGTATTTTAAAAAATTTTCTACAGCAAAATAAAAACATACATTACTAAAAAAAGCCACATTGTACATTAAATACATTAAAATATTGATAATTTTATAAATAAAATCATTTTAAACAGTAAATACATGATAAAATTTCTCTCATACAAGGTTACTTATATATAGTTCAATGACTGATTTTGAAAATATAAAAACTATATCCTTCTTTTAAAAAAACATTTAACTTAATTTTACAAAATTATCAAAAGTTAAAAAGTGCTAGATATGCTTCCATTTTTAAATTACAGCACAACATCAGACCTTAAAAAAAAGATTAATTAGGGCATAAGGCTCAGCCTATATTGCCTAAAAATGAAAACTTCAGAGACTTTCTATGCAGTGGGAGAGGCTGGGAAGCTGACTGAGTGCAAGGCCAGTGAAGGCTGTCCCCTGCCCAGGGTTACTACCTGTCCTTGCTCTCAGAAGCAAGTGACTCCTCCTTCCCGGCCCACTCCTAGGGAGGAGTCTTTCTATGCCTACTCGTTCCTCATTTTCAAAAGACAAGGTTTCTGAAAGAATTTTGATATTTAAATCCTATGCCAATACTGAAATTCTTCTAAAGATTGAGGCATTTTGCATTGACTTTTATACAAAAAGTCATGATCTTATTCCAAATGAAACGAGGATACTTCATTTGGTGACTTGATTTCATACCACTTGTCGAGGTAGGATAATTTTCTTCTTTCTCTGAAAACAGCTCTGACTATACAAACGATGGTTGTACTGGAAAGGGCTCTAATGCCTTTTCTGCATTCTTCCAGTTGTGAAAATTCTCTCTGTACCACTCAACTGAAAGGAAAAAAAAAAGACAAAAATAAAAAATAAAAAACTAAAAATAGGATAAACAACATTTACTGAGTTCATACTAAGTAAAAGTCTTGCCCATCAGCTTATCAGCAGGTAAGAGTTGCCTAATGATGTAAACAATCTAATTTTAAACCTACCAATGAAGTTAATCAGAAAATGTTTCAGCACCTGAAAACTTAGATTTAAAAATCAACTTATTTTTAACTTCAAAAGTCCTTCAATACTGAATTTGCTGGTATAAGTGTTTAAGACATTCTGATTCTAAGGAATTCAGGAGGAAAGGGAGATAAGTCATTTGCACTGGTTTTACAGTTATGGAAAAAAGTATAATATTTTGTTCACGTAAATGTAGCAATACTACATTATAGGCATAGTGAGATAATACGAGCTTCCTTCTGTTAATATGTGAAATTATTTTATGTCTCTACACTATAACATTTTTAGTTAAAAAAACGATAAATTATCTTTGTATTTGCTTTTAAAATTCAACACAAGTACTTTGTATTTCAAACTCTTAATCAAGACTTTTTTTTCCTATATTTGGGTATATCCTTTAGCATGAGTACATTTCTAAATAGAACTTTAACATATATACACAGACTTTATATACACTTATTTTAAGGGATATTTCTGCATAAACCAAATTTGTTACCTATTTGTTTGTTTCAATATAAAAAGACTCAAGGCATTCAAAGACTGTAAACTGTCTCTATTTCATCAAATCTAAGACACCCCGATCGTAAGATGGACCATTATTTTACATACCGCTAAGGAAAAGTGCTTACAATAATAATTATAAGATACTAGTGACTGTAAAACACACACTTTTCAAGGAGGTGAAAAAATATATATCTGAAAATCAATGAAAGAGGTATCTGACAAATGCTAATAAGATATAAGGAGACTAATCAGAAGTTAGTCTATGAAATTCAAGAAGCTTAGGAAATATATTGCTATTGCTAGAAATAGATTAGATGTTACAATGTGAAAGAAAAGTGAAAATGATTCATCACAATATTCTGCTGAATTTGTAGTGTTCTAAAAATAAATTTCTTTTCTTTTAAATTTTCCTGAATCCCCCCAAAAATGACCAATTCATAACATACTTGTTTTCTTTATTCCTTCTTTCCAAGGCACTTTAGGTCTCCAACCTAAGCCATGTATTTTTTCTGACTTCATTGGATATCTCATGTCATTGGTAGGTCTTGGAAAACAAAACAGATTTAAAATGACGTTGTGGATGTACATTTACAAATTTGAATACTAAGATAAATAATGCATGTCCACGCATCTCTAGCATAATTCAAATTTTTTCTTAAAAAAATTTTCCCTGAAGACAAGCTTGTAGAAAATTTGTAAAATAAAATATATATTAAAAAAAATCATCTATAACCCCAGAAGCCTAACCGTCTCTGTGGTTTATCCTTTTATTTCAGCCACAATCTAGGTATGAATACAGTGCCTCATACCTAAATGTTTGATGAATGAATAAATAAATACACATCAACTTATTAGGACTCCTGTGCTTCACACCCTGGGTGGAGTACTTTATATACATTACAATTAAACTTTAAAATAGTTTTGTGAGCAAGATATTATTTTCCCTATTTCACACTTGAGGAAACCTCAGACTTGGACAGGGTCAATAATTTTCTTTAAGTCACACAGCTAGTTAGTAATAAAACACTTTAATATACTTTATTCTGATGACATCTATAAGTAGAAAAAAAATACTTTAGGAGAAAACTCAAAAGACATAAACTAGTTTCTGGTTAAGTCCATGTATTTTATAATTCTACAAATACCTAAGATTTCACAACCTTTCCCCCGTGTTTTAACTTGTTACTCACCTATCATTAACATAATCAACCCAGTTTTCCATTTCAGACTCTGAACTGGTCTCTTTGATCTGTGAAAATGGAGAAGGCTTTTGAGTCAAATTATAAAATGAGACCAGAGAACGACAATGGTATTCAATAGCTGATTCCAAAGAGAAGAAAAACCACCTCCTCTAAGTAGGGGAGATAGCTAAAATGAACAGCATTTTAGTAACACTTTCCATACTTTATAACCTAAACTCCATCTGAAGCTCAGCGAGATTACACAATGTATAAACTATGGGAGAAAATAAATTCTTTTGGCTTTTTGTTATTAATCAGTGTGATATTATGATTTATAATAAAAAATATATACTTGGTCTTCATCCCTGTTCTTAGCACAGTGCTCCTAAAATCCTTGGAATTTCCTAAGTGATGGAGAGATAAAGCTGTCTTGTGCTATTCATCACAAGCCCCTTTTACCACACCAGAGTTTGTTAATGAGTGATTTCTGGAAAACCCCTAAGGATGAGGGCTGGTTGCCAGGGGAACCATTCACGTGATCTGATGCATAGAACTCAGCCCCCTTCTTCCTACCTCCAGGGAGAGAAGATATGGAGATTGAATTAATCGCCAGAGGCCAGTGATTCAATCAATCATGCCTACTTAATGAAGCCTCCATAAAAGCCCCAAAGGATAGGGTTTGGAGAGCTTCCGGGCTGCTGAAAAATGCAGCTGCTGTGAGGGTGGCACGTCTGGAGAGGGCATGGACACTCCACACCCCTTCCTTCATACCTTGTCCTATGTATCTCCATCTGGCTGTTCTGAGTTACATCCTTTGTAATAAACCAGTGATCTAGAAAGCAAACTGTTTTCCTGAGTTCTGTGAGCCACTCTGGCAAAGCACGTCCAATTTATAGCCCGTTGGTCAAAAGCACAGGCGACAATCAGCTCCTGTGACTGGCATCTGAAGCAGAGCACAGTCTTGTGGGACTGAGCCCTCAACCTGTGGGATCTGATGCCATCTCTAGGTGGATAACATCAGAATTGAGTTAAATTGTAGGACACCCAGCTGGTGTCTGAGAATTGCTTGGTGTGGAAAACCCACAGGTTTGGAGTACAGAGCATTCTGTGAATAGTGTAAAGGAAAACAAAAGTTTTTCCATACACTCGGTTTCCCTTTCTACTGAATCCTGAGATTTGAAATTGATGTTCATTAATACATACAAGCATTCCAAACTATAGTTATTTATATATCATTGTTCCTTGATTCTGGACACACAATTTTATATTTTTGAAATTGAAGCATTTCTTATAATAGGTATATACATTTAATGTATTAGGATTTTTTGTTCCTAAAAAGCTGTTACTAAATGAGTGATACAGTTTCAAATAATGACATATCTTAGCATACATAAAATATACATAATTATGAATTTCATTTTTTACTTGTTCACTTTCCAATTGAGTAAACTATAAATTGTTGATTTTGAATTTGGAAAACACAATCCTTTCACAATATATACATACCAGTTGTATTAGTTCTTTGGCAAGCTGGAGAACAGACATTTCAAAATTGGTTCCGATGTTATAAATTTCACCTGGTTTCCCCTTTTTGAGGACAGTGAGAAATGCTTCTACTACATCAGTAGCATAAAGGAAATTTCTTGTTTGAAGCCCTGACCCATGAATGCAGCTAAAAAGATGAAATGAAAAGGACTCATAAAGTGTAAAAATGTACGCTCTCCCAAACCCGGGTACGGCAATGCCTGAGTACAATTCCAGAGAAGCCAATGCCCCTGGCGATCCTAGACATCTTTTACTGAAAATACAAATTCTTATGACTCTTCTAAATTTTATCCATGGTTCTTAAACGATCTCCAAACCTCCTGAGGGTACTCAGTAGGAGAGTGGAAAACATAAGTGACCCCTGCGAAATATTTATTCATCAATTTTATACCTTAAATTCACTTTGAAGAAATATCTACAGTTCTATGAATTAAACAAATTCTTTGAAAAAGTAAAACTACATAAAAATCGATGTCAAATTTTAATGCTGTTACTCAGAGTTCCAGGATACATTATTTAAGAATTGAAATTAGAAAGTATATTATAAAGATGAATTACAGATTATAATTGATTGTAGAAGGAATTCTTAAATTTGTTGGGACACTCAATTCTATTGCCTCCAACTCTAAGACTTTTATGATTTTCAAGACAGACTGTCACCAAATACTAGTAACATAGCAAAAAAACATGTGGGTACAAAGGTAAATAATAACATACCATTTCCTGTTGTGTTGTAGTAAAGATATAAATTTTGGAATAACCTAAAAGAATATTTAAACATCATTTCAGACTTTGGAAATACACTCATTAATATGAATCTGAACTCATCATAAATTAAAAGACTATTATTAAGAAATATAGATAAATTCTAATTCTTCCTATCAGGAGTTCAAGAAAAAACCTATTATAATTTTGTTAAGTAAAAGAACTCTAAGCTTCTTATTTCACAAAAACAAGTTATCTGCTATATAAATATGAAGATAAAATGACATATACAGTGGAAACACTCAGAAGAAGTCTTCACGAACAGTCTGCTCCCATCACAAAGCTCACGTTTGTGCTGATTTTATAAGGGCAGGGATCCTATCTCACGGCTTTACAAAGAGCACCTATTCAGTAAGTGTTGGTGAAATTAATAAAAAGTAAATTCCAGTGCCATGGATTCAAAGAAAATTTATGTTAAACAGGGTGAGATAAATTACTAAATTTATACTCAACCTGTTAAAGATACTCCAAAAATTAAGCAAAGTAGATATTAATACCAGCAGATCATGATATGGCCCTTTCCTTTGGGCAAATAGATCAATACAACTGGCTGCCAAGTGAAAAACCCAGTCCCTAAATATAGGCAGAGAAAGCAACAGTTACTTAAAATTGGGCTTAAAAATACAGAACTAACCAGCATTTTCAGTCTTTTAACTGCATTTCTTTATTCGCTACTTGTACTACTTTCTGGAAGACATTCTGACCTGCAATTATAAAGAGGGAACTCGGGGACAGTTAACGAGCTGACTGTAACACAAATTTATGTACAAGCTCCCTGCATCACACTCTAACTACCTTTTACATCTCTGTACAGTCTGACGTACTGCTCTGACTGCTAACCAGGAGTCTTAACCAGCATGACAGTAGTGATGGGAGTACTCTATAGTGCTTTAGAATCCTGCAAAGTACAAGGCATTTTCACATATATGATCTCATCGGAGCCTTCAAAATCCTTTCTAAGTCACCCTTCAATTTAAAGATGAAGCTCAGGGGCTTAAGTTCATGCCAACTGGTATCAGGTTGAGACTTAAACTCAAAATCTGATGAGAGTTGCATATGGCCTACACAGCATTTATAATTATGTACAATTAAAACATAAATTATTTTAGACAAATAACTGAAGAAAAGCTATTTTAAATAATGAGAAGTTATGATCACTAAAACACACCATGAATTCAGAAGTAAAATGTACCTTTTCTGGATATTGATGTGGTCCATAAACATTACTGCTTCTTGTGATGACAACTGGAAACTTAAAGAGTATTCAACATTAAGGTAAGGGAAAGGTCCGATAACAATTATCTAAAGGCAAGCAGTTTTAAATATGGGTGCTTTTGGCTAAATAATTCCACACACCTTAAAGACAGAAGCGAAGGGATTTTTTTCTAATGTAAGGGTCCTGAAAAGACAGGAGAGGATGAGATTCAGATAAGGCAGAGGTTGCAAAAGGAAGAAGAGGAATATTCTCTTTACTGGGACAAGGGGAGGACGGATATAGATGGAGGTAGGTTTGTAAGTCTGATAGCAGAAACTAAGGAAATTTCCACCTGATTACTTCAGAGACCAGTTCTAGGACTCTAGGTTTGGTTAGATGTTAAACTTCAAGTTGGCTTTCTCTGTTGTACCAACGCTTACGAATAAAAAGAGCTACCATGAAAGGGGAAAGGACCAATGCTACTGGAACACAAAAGGCAAGCGAATCTTAAGTAATTTTCTGGCTTGCCTGTCTGACCCCGTCCCTAATAACTCCACAAGAAGACTGGGGGAAGCCAAATGTAGGGATTTGAGCTGATGATTTATAGTGAGTAAGGCTCCCACATTGACAGTGTAAGAGCCAGCAGGCAAGTCTACCTCCCATTCATGAGGAGCCAAGAGAGGTGAATCATGCAGAAGGAGCAGGTGGAAGGGAAGGGAATGTGCCCTCCCTCTGTCTTCCTTCACTCAGAGGATTCCTGGGAATCAGGATATTCCAACAAGGCTTTTCACTATAGCTGTAACACTCTACCTATTACTAAAGCAGGAAAAAAATATACACAAATTATTCCTTTAAACGATGAACAGAACAGGAAGAAGTAGGCCCTTCACTGTCTACACAATGTAGGAAATCAGTTTTCTTAATTCCTTAATATATAACTTTTCTCAATCTATGTCTTCTACTCTAAAAGAGAAATGTTTCTAATGCTAACTTGGAGTTTTAATACCTAGGTCCAGAGAAAAATGATTTGAGAGTTTCTGAAATCAGTTCTTACCTTATATCGTTCCCAGTAAGACTGTACAAAACACTCAGCGGCTGCTTTAGATGATGCATAAGGATTTGTAGGTTGTTTGGGTGAAGATTCATCAAATTCCTAATTTTAAAAAGATATATTTAAAAAAGAAGTGTTAGGCATACTTTCTAAGTAGAAAAATCAGTAAACATATTACAAACTTGAAATGTTAATCACTACATTTAAAAAAACATTTACTGAACCCTGACTATGTGGCTGCCATTTTTCTAACCACTTTCCATGTAGTAACTTCTTTAAAGTTCACGACAACCCTTTAAGGCAAGCAGGGAGAACACTAAGTGCAAAGGCCCTGAGACAGAAGCATGTCCAAAGGAACAGCAAGGAGGTCTGTGTGAGGGAAGAGAAATGGAAGATGAGGTCAGAGAGCTGGAGGGAGGAGAGAACATGCAGAAGCGTGAAGGCCACTGTAAAAACATGAACAGGTTTCTGGCAAAGTAATGTCATGATCTGACTTATATTTTAAAAATCATTCTGGCTACTGTGTCAGATCTGATGCAGGGTGACAAGCATACAAGAAGAAAGAAGTTTAGCTCAGAAAAATTGCAAAGTGAGTTGAAAACAGTTACTTCTCAGAAGTTGGATTGGGGATTAAGGAGAAGTGGTCAGGGTCTGCTTTTTCTCATGAGTTTTTTCAATCTACTTGATTTTTTTCACTATGTATGTGTTTTGGTAAAATAAAACAGAATGAGGTCATTGTAAACAATGACTATGAAAAATATAGACGAGAGAATGGAGTCATCTTTTCGCACAAAAAGTATATTTACAAATGATTAAAAAAGGAGAACAGATTCCAGTTTCTACAGTAATTTCACACGTGCTCCTTGCCCCTTGAAAGTGCTTTCCTGAGGGGAAGAGACAGGTGAGCAGGCAGTATGCTGCAGCCTAACTGACATCTGCCGTGCCCGTGGGAATGCCATCCATCATGTGAGACTGGGAGGAAAAGGTGAGACCTGCTGCTCTCTTACAAAATATCGTCAGTCAAATTACATATAAATCTGTACCAAGACTAGGTTAGTGTTGCCAGTTGGTGGCACATTTGATCTGAACAGAAGACACAATGGAATAACATTTGGCGAGTCCCAGAAGTGTGTCCAATCAGAGGATGAGAAAAGCCCAGAGTAGGTTTTAATAAGACAGATTTGTATCATGATGTGTAGTGAGCAGGTGAAACACACATTTCCTAAGCTTACCTTATCGAGACTGCCTCCATATACTTCATCTGTGCTGACGTAAATAAATTTCTCCACTCTGGCTTCATGAGCAGCACTTACCAAAACGTGAGTGCCATAAACATTAACATATGTAAACTCAAAGGCACGTACAAATGAAAGATCTAAAACAAGAGAAAAAGCTAGAACAATTCCACCCAAGGGACATAACAAATACCAAATGGTAGACTGAGTTTTAAGGAGTAATAATGATTTCTAGTGGAACTGAAAAAAACAAAACAAGACAGACTTTGAATTCTAGAAAAAAACAGAGCTGAGAATAGATACATGGAGTTAAGTGTCTAAGGACCTTGTATTATTTGAGAGGAGGGCAAAGGTTTTGATGGACTTTAGCCCCTGATAAGCTAATTACACATGTTGTAATTTTTAGGGGAACCACTCAAAGCACACAAACAGACTATATAACTTCCAACTAGCAGAGGAAGAAAAAGGATAAAAAAAGTTCCTCAGTCAAGTCTTTAAAAAAGCAAGCATTTTTTTAAAAAGCATTTTTTAAAAAGGCAAGGAAGAATTTTTTTAAAAAGAATTTTAAAAGAAACAAGCAAAGAAACAGAACAGGTGAGAAAAATAGAAAGTACACAATAAGGTGGTAAAAATAAATCCAAATATATTAATAAACTAAATGCTCGGGGTAAAGATCAAGGATGGTGACACTGGATTAAAAAAACAAAATCCAAACACAAATTGTTTATAAGATATACAGCTAGACCATAAAACCAGAGAAAGGTTGGAAATAAAATGATAGGAAAAGACATATTATGAAAATAATAACTAAAGGAAGGTGACAGAGCTATACTAATTTCAAATAAAATGCTCTTCAAGGCAGTATACATCACTAAGGAAGAAAGATCACTTCATATGAATAAAAGGTTCAATTCACTAAAAATACACAGAAGATTTGAAGAATATGATTAACCTATTTAACCTAATGGATATGTAAGGAACAACGCACCCAACATTTGCAGATTACACATTCTTTTCAATACACATGTAATATTTATAGAAAGTGACCATACATTGGGCCAAAAAGCAAGTTGCAGCACAAAGAACTGAAATCATACAGTATGTTATCTAACCAATAAAATTAAGCTAGAAATCAATAACAAAAAGGTAACAAGAAAATCCACACGTTTGAAAATTAAGATATACACTTCTCAGGAACCCATGGATTGAGAAGAAATCAAATTCTTAAAAATAAAATATAATAAGAATAATGCACATGAAGACTTGTGGAATTCAGATAAATCAGTATTTAAAAGTAAATTTGTAGACTAAAATGTAAACATTAGAGAAAAGCTGTAAATTAATAAGCTAAATATTATCAAATATTATACAAAAGGTAGAAAAAAATAGAAAATAAACCTAAACAAAGTAGAAATAATGAAATAATAAACATCAGAGTAGAAATTCATGACATAGAAAACAAGCATATGATGGAAAAGCTCCACAAAGTCAAAGACAATTTTTTGGAACAACAAAAGGGTGGGATGGTTTGCTTTGCTGATATCAAGAATTATTATAAAGGTACAGTAATAAAGACAGTGTGGTAATGGCATAAGGACAGACAAAGACCAATGGACAGAACAGGAGCCCAGATATACTAGCATGCATAAATGGGCACCTCATCTACAATAAAGGTGGCAAGGAGGAAAAGGTGAGTCTTTTCAATAAACGGTGTTGGGTAAAACTAATATTGATATGGGGGAAAAATCTGAATGTAAAAGGCAAAACAGTAACTTTTATAAAAAGAATATAAGAATATCTCCATGACCTTGGTGGCAGGAAGAACTCTTACCCAGAACACAAAGAGCACTGACCCCAAGGGAAAAGGTTGATGAACAGGACTACACAGAGATGCAGACCTGCAGTGACCAAAAGACACCATTTAGAAAGTGAAAAGGCAATGGAAAGACTGAAAAAAAGTAATGGCCAAAGGTTTGGATCCAGAATAGATAAAAGACTCATAAGAATCTGTAAGGAAAAAATTGACAACCCACTAGAACATGTAAAGAGACTTTCCAAAGAAGATAGACCAAGGACAAAGGGAAGAGGACAGTCCAATAAACAATTGCAAACGTTTTTAACCTCATTAGTAGTCAGGGAAAAATAAAATAAAACCTCAAAAGACTGACAACAGCAAGTATTGGTGAGCATCTCATAAAGTGCTGGAAGGAGTGTACAATCACTTTATCATTAACCAAGTAGAAGGATTTGCTCTACCAGATAGGAAAGCACTATATGAGTCAATATACTGTGTAATCAGCCCAAGCATAAACAAAAAGAGAAATGAAGAGTTGACAAACAGATACTCATATAAGGATACTTAATATATGACCAGGCCATGGAAACTGGTGAACTTTTCTGTAAGTGGTAGAGATCCAATTGGTATCCAAATAGAAAAAAGTGAAATCGGACTCCTATTTCATACTGCACATAAAAATAAACTTCAGATAGATTACAAATCTAAATGTGAAAAATAAAACTTTTCAAAGATAACACAGGAGAATATCGTCAGGATCTTGGGGCAAGAAAGAATTTAAGATCCAAAAAGCATTCACCATAACATAAAAGAAAAGATACATAAATTCAACTACATGAAAATTAAGAACATCTGTTCATCAAAACATGCCACAGGGGCCTGCCTGGTGGCACAGTGCTTAAGTTTGCACACTCCGCTTCGGTCGCCTGGGGTTCGTGGGTTCAGATCCCACGCACAGACCTACAGACCTACACACCAATCATCAAGACATGCTGTGGCAGCATCCCACAGAGCAGGACAAGATATTTTAATACACATAACAAAGGACTAGCATCCAGAACATAAATAAACTCCTACAAATCAATGAGAAAAAGGTAAATAACCCAATTTAAAAAATGGGCAAAGATTTCAACAGCATTTCACAAAGAAGAAATGTAAATTACCAATAAACATACAAAAGGTGCACAGCTTCATCAGTAATCAGGGAAACAGAAATTAAAACCACAATGAAATACGATTACACACTATTCAGACTGACAAAAATGAAAAAATCTGATAAAACTAAGCTTTGGTGAGATCTGGAGCAAGAGGTCTCACATCTTACACACTCTTGGAGTGGAAACTGGTCCAGTTACTTTGGAAAACAGTTGGACATTATCTCAATGTTGAAGTGTGAAGATCTATGATTCTAATTAGATACTGAGAGAAATGTGTACTAATGTGTTCCAAGATACATGTCTAAGAACATTCATGGTAGTGTTGTTCAAAATTGCCCAAAAGTGTAAACAATCCAAATGCCCATCAAGATAAAACAGATACACAAATTGTGGTATATACTTAGAATGGAATGCTGTATGTCACTGAAAATGAACAAATTATACCTACACCCAACTACAGGGAGGAATCTACAGAAATGAAAACGTTAAGACCAAAAAACCTACATGTTATTTTATATACACATTTTTATAAAATTTTAAAACAGGCTAAACTAACCTATACTGTTGAGGGATAAATACATAGACAGTAAAACTGTTGAGAAAACCGAGTGAAATTATAACTTTAAAATCCGGTTATAAAGCCCTAGTAATATTACTATTAAAGAAGTTCAGCGACATTCTATCTGTTGTTTAAGTGATGGCTACGTGGGGATTCACATTATTATTCATTTAACTTTACTTCTAAATTCTTCTGAATGTATGTTATTATTTCACAATATAAATGTTAGACAAATTATTAGAAGATATTTCAAATATACAAAACAGTAACAGATAATAATGTAATGCTCAGAGGGCCAGCTCTGTGGCTGAGTGGTTAGGTCTGTGTGCTCTGCTTTGGCAGCCCAGGGTCTGCCAGTTCGGATCCTGGGCATGAACCTGCAACTACTCATCAATCCATGCTGTGGTGGCATCCCACACAGAAGAACTAGAATGACTTACAACTAGAATATACAATATGTACTGGGGCTTCGGGGCGGAGGAAAAAAAGAAGAAGATTGACAACCGATGTTAGCTCAGGGCCAATCACCCTCACCAAAAAGCAAAAAAAACCCAAACAAACATAAGGGAATGCTTAACTGTGTAGTACCACCCAGGTTAAGAAAAACACTATAAAAAATACAGTTGAAGCCCTATCTCCCCAGAAGTAATCACTATCCTGTATTGGGTTAAACTCAAAGTTTTAAGACAGCATTCAAAGTAACACGTCAACCTAGACTAATAAAACTGACCTGAAATGTGCCACATATCTTGATGACAGAGTGACCACGGGCTTGTTTTTCTGGTACAGTGTGGTATATGCTCTTTCAAGACATATATTAAGTACCTACTTGTTCAACCTCATTACTGGACTTCAATTTAGGCTAGTTAGCCACTGGAAAAAAAAATTTGTCCATCATAACTGTAATATAAACAATGCTTACCTACATGCGTTTGTGCAGCAAAATGTAGTACTATATCTATTTTCTCTGTTTCAAAAAGCAGTTTCACAAAGTGAGAATCACATATGTCACCCTATATAAAAAAGCAAACATGAAAAAACTAAGTTTCATTGAGCACTCCCATTCATAATTACCATTTACTATATAAGCCAAAAAAAGATAAGAAAAAAATTAATTCTTCCTGTCACCACCCTGGTTTAATAAATAGAGAATATCTTGAAAATTCAACTGAGGGGTCAAGAAAGTATAGCAATGATACATTTCTCCAGCATCTGAGGATATAAGATATTCAATTCAAAATATTTTTTGGCAAGTAAGCATCTAAAACAATATTTTATTAAGCACCAACTACTATTAAGGACTGCGCTAGCTTTTTTCCATAAGATTCTTGCCAACCTAAGATCATTGTGTTAATAAGAAAATTTTTAGACATATTTTTAAAAGTTTGAGACAGCCATTACTGAAATATATTTAAAGCAAGTAACAACTTGAATTACATTTTGAAAAATGTATTTAACCACAACTAAGTAAACTTATGAGTACTTTTGATGTTATATGTACATTTAGGTCTTCTAAAAATACATATTCTCGGTGATTCTTTGGTGACTGAAGGAAATACTTTCATATAGAAGAGAATTATGAAACATTTGCTCACTATAGTCTTTAAGACTTGTGGTTAAAAAGAGAATTTATAGAATCTCTTTAAAAGAAACATAAATCATAAGACAGCTTCATCTGACATTAAAATTTCCCTTTGCAAATTAATGACCTGGCTCTCTGGTTTATACTTTGGACTCTTCTAAGAGTGGGTAGTAAGAACCAGCCTTCCAGAGCCAATCAATCAACCTTCATGGAGAAGACTATCCCACGGGCTGGATGGTGGGCATTTGGCTGTTGGCTGGCCTGAGTAAAACCCCGCTTTATAGTAATCTCTTTAAATCCCAGCATGACCTTATTAAGAAGGCTATTGAAGCCCTAAAAGTCACAGACCACGTAAGTCCAATCAGCTACTCATATCTGCCAAGGCACCAAAAATCACATGTAGCTTTAAGACATGGTGTCAATCTAAAAGTAGTATTCTCTATAGCCCGTTGTACTTCTGGAAACTACTAAGGCTTTAATAAGCGGGCTTTCCAAGTCCATATTACATAAGTTCGTAAACCCATATTACGCAAGTTTGTAAAGTAGAAAGATAAAATGCCTGAATGACTAAAAAGGCACAGTATAATAATTACATAATTATAAGAGAACTTTCATACCTGTATAAATTTGTAGTTTTGTTTGTTAGAAATGGTTTCAAGATTCTTCAAACTTGCACAGTAATCCAGCTTAAAATAAGTAAGTTGGGGAGGGTGGAGAAACAATACAAAAAGTGAGACTGGCTATTCCTATAAAAATATCAATTTATTTTAAAGACCATAGATGTTCTGATTACAATACAAGAACATGTCTTCTTAAAGCGTTTGCCCTTTGCGTTTTTAGAAATTTCTGATATCTTAAAACTAAGTGTAATTTTATCATCTTTCCAAAATACAAAAAAATTACTTTTTATAAATCTCTTCTTTAAAAAATTTTCCTGTCCAGAATTGACTCCAGCCACTGGTGGCTAGCAAAGTTTACCATTCCTTACTGAAAAGAAATCAGTGAATAAGACAATTATGTCTGTGTTATGCATATTATAACTCATTCCACTGTTTCCTGAGTTATCTGCTGGTAAATTGGTGTACAGATGGGGGAAAAAATTACTGTCGATGATAGTAAGGCAGGCAAAAATTCATAAGACTTACAGGTTATTCTTTGTCTACATATTTTTATTATTACATTTTATAAAATTAAGGTAACTAATCACATCTTATGTTTAAAGTCAAAAATCCAGCAATTACCAATCACAGCTTTCCGACTCCCCACAGAGACTCCAATTATTACAGAAAAATTCTCAAAACTATATTAATTTAACTGCATTTTAATTTTAAAAATATATTTAATCTTAAAAATAAATATATTAAAAAAACAGTCATGTGCCACAGAATGTAATTTCGGTTAATGACGGACCACATATATGATGGTGGTCCCATAAGATTAGTACCATATAACCTAGGTGTGTAGCAGGCAATACCACGTAGGTTTGCAAAAGTACACTTATGATGTTTGTACAACGATGAAATTGCCTAACAAGGCATTTCTCAGAATGTATCCCCTTTGTTAAGTGAAGCATAACTGTATAATTTTCCAGGAGGTGGGGATGATAAAACCAAATAATAAAATGATAAAATCAAATAATCAGAGTATCCCAACTCCAAAAAAGGTTAATAATCACAGGATTACACTCAATATTGAATTTAGGGTGAAGAGATTTTCTTTTGGTAAAAATACTGCAGTTAAAAACTTTACTTCATGGGCCATCATAGTAAATGAAAAAGTTTCAGAAGACTTTTACGTAAGGCTGAATATAGCACAAACATGATGATATACGCCCTTAAGTTGCTAAAATGACTAAACAAAAAATTAAAATATCAGCATGATAGGATCCTAATATTTTTTAAAAATGTAAAGTTTCAGTACTTAAAGCTCATTTTTATAAAACTCACCTTGTCTAGATTTATGATCATATAATTTGGATAATCTTCTACTAAAGAAACAATCATATGTGACGCACTATAAGAAAAAAGTGTATCTTGTTAGTAGAAAATTTAACCTTTTCCCTAAATTCTTGAATGTTGCCCTAAGCTGTCGAGTGTTAGAAAACTATTCAGATACCTTTAAATTTCCACAAGATATAAATAATATAACTACACTGAATATACACACACCCACACTTTCCACTAACCTTCTCAACAGTATTGATACACAAAGTCTTACACTCCTTTTACACTATGTAGAAGACAGAATTCACTGGTCCTAGGTATAAGAAAAAATCAGTTTAACCAAATGATGCTGCCCATGCATGCTTTGAGTGTGGGAGGAAAGCAGGATGATAAATACAATGGGCGATGGTTAGTGCAAAGGAACTGAAACTATAATGAGCCTTTTCGGCGACTGTAGGCATAACTATGTAAAAATTAAGTCAGTACGAGCATAGTGAGCTGTCTATGTTCACAGCAACCCTACTGCAGTTGCCATCTCTTGGTACAAGAATTTGGGGGTGTAAACCAGAATCCTTGGTGGGAGGGGGGAGTGGGGTGTCCTAGACTAAAGCTAGGTTTCCAAGGCTAATGACAGCTGAAACCATCCTGAGTTGGATACGCATAGTGGCTCCTGGGTTTCAGAGGACCCTGAAGGGCAACCAGAGGCATATCTCAGCAGACGATACAGCAGATTTTATCATATACATCAAAATGTTGGGCTCCCAGGAAAACGAGCAGCCCCTGACCAAATTATGAACTCAGACTTTGTACCTGGCAGCCCTTTCAAAGCATTCTCTAGGAACCCTTCCTGGACGAGCACTCTCACACTAGTACCACCCTTTTATGCCCACGCTCCTCTTCTCATTAAGTAAATCTTGCCTGCCTGGCAGCCTCCTCTAAGCCACTGTCAGCTTAGAAGACGTGATTTGATGTGCTAATGGGTGGGAGGATAAAAAGATCCCATGTTCTTCTTCCACTAGACATTGGGAGAGTTTCCCATTTGTACTCCTGCATTCATCCGTTCAACAATTACTGAAGACCTTTATAAAATAAGCTAGGCCTTCTTCCAGGTGCTGAGTGAACAAGAGTCTGCCCTCATCCACTTTACATTCTACAGTAGGGATGCAGGCAATAAGCAAGTGGACACAAACATGCAATATAATCTCAGGTAGCGATAAGTGTGTTAGTTGTGGGAGGGGCTATTTTCGATAGGTTGGTGAGGTAAGGCCTCTCCGAGGAGGGGATGTTTGAGTAAACATCTGAACTGAGTGATGCAAACAGCCTAAGCAAAGGGGAAGCAAGTGCAAAGGCCTGAGGACAGGAGGAAGGAGCTTCGTGTGTTCTAGGAACTGCAAGAGGGTAAGTGTGGCAGGCACAGAAAAGCAGATCAGGTTGGAAAACAAGGCTTGGTCTTCTAGATATGGTAAGGAGTTTGGATTTTATTCTAAGTCTGACAGAAACCATTGGAGTAAAACTACGCATTGATTGACTTAAACGCTGACTCGTGTGTGAGGAACAGACTTCAAGAGAACCAGAGTGGAAGCAGTGTGACCAATCAGAAGGCAACAGTAGCACTCTAGGCAAAAGAAGACAGGAACGCGGGCTAGGAGGGAAGGGGCCCGGCGTGAGAAGTGGTCGCCTTGACATATACTTTGGAAGTAGTGACAGGACTTGCTGCCTGAATGTGGGTGTGAGAGAGCAAGAGGCATCAAACGTTTAGTACAGATCGAAATGATGCGGGATCGGTGAGCCGAGGAGTCGAAAGAAAGATTTCTTAGACTCTCAAGATCTGGCAGTAGTGCTCTTTTATTTAGAGAATAGAGATAGAGTAGCATGGGGACAGGACCCATGGGCAGTCAGAGCTTCTGCTGCTCCTGCTGCTGCCCCGAACTGAGGGTTAGGGCCAAATTTAAGGCATAGGTAAGTGAGTTATCTCTTTATTAGTGCCCGTTTGGTCTGGCCATTTGGCGGTCCCATAACTTTAAGACAAGAATCAAACCGGATTGAGTAAATGGCAGAAGTCACCGCTCAAATATTATCTTCAACTAAAGACAAAGGAGGATTTTGGGGTGAGGGTCAGTTACATGAGGTTGCCAGGCAGTTTCCAGAGATAAGGCCATCCCCCCTTCCTCCTGGCTCAGAGGGGGAGTCATCTCCACAGATAGATGTTTCCCTTAGAAGTGTAAATGTTTTCCCAACAAGGGGGAGGCATCTTCACAGATAGATGTTTCCCTTAGAAATGTAAATGTTTTCCCAACAAGGGGCAAACAAATTCCAGAGAGGGAGGCATGGAGATTTCCTTTACAACTGCAATTGTCTCTGATCAAAAGGGCAAACAAATTCCACTCCTTGGAGCCTGCTTCTTATCTGTAGTTTTAAAAGTAACCAGCCTAAAAATCCTCATCATAAACTGTTTTAAAATTAAGCAGCCTAAAAATCCCCATCAAAAGCACGAACAGATGATTTCTAAAAGTCAACTGAATAAATGAATGCCCTATCATAATCCAAAAGTCATTTTTTGGCGCCTATATGTACAAGGCCTGTGTAGGAGGATGGGGATTGGGGCAGTTGGTGAGAAGCCTACTGCAATGTGGGCGCGCTCAGAAGAGTGACAGGTGCATCTCAGGCCAAGTCGGAGGGCGGACAGTACCACGGCGCTTTTGCCTTGGGAAGGAGGCGTTTTAAAGAAGTGGCAGTTTCAAAGGAACCTACGCAGGAGGTTTCAAAGGAACCTCCTCTACGCAGGCGGGAGAAGGTAGAAGGATCTCGGCCGTGCCTTAAGACCCTCCCCATATCAGACCCCCAAAGTTGGTCCCAAGTTGCCAAGGGCAAGCAGAGTCGTAGGAAAGGGTTGGGGTTTCTGGGGAGCCACTGCTCGGCCAGCGGCGCCGTTACCTACATGAAACCAGCACCCCCGGTCACCAGGACCCGCTTCGCAAAGCTGCTGGGAGGACCCCAAGGCTCTGCCTGGCCCTCAGCCGACATCTCCAGCTCAGCAATGCCTGGCACCGTAAAGAGCCAGGTCTGTAGACCGTAGGGAAGTTCCACCGCGACTTTTTGCGACGTGTCTTGCTGCCGCGACACGTCAGTCGGGCAGGCAGCGGCAGCTTCCGGAGCGCGGACCGACGTGTCCCCGCCCACTGGCGGGCTGGGCGGGGCCATCGGGCACGCCACTGGGCGCGAGTAGTGCTCTGCCGGTGTCTGTCTGGGAAGGTGAAGTTTGGGACGTTTTTGCTCCGAGTGTCACCAGCACGAATTAGGCTTTACTTAGGTACACAAAAACGGTCGGAGCTATGAATGATTACCTTCCTTTCATTCTTGTACTACAGCGATCTCCAAAGATTACTCACCAGTTGAGCTGAGAACTCCCGGAGAGTTCTCTTGCAAACTGTAGAGATGGGAGGTTGAAATTGCAAAATGAGCTTTGACTGTTGTTAACGTTACTACAGACAGCGCAGGCTGCTTTGAGTCCTGGTAAAGATGTTCCCTAGATACTATCCTCAGATCTTTTCCTAGTATTCCTCTTACTCGCTCTGTCCTAGTCTCCGGGTCCTCCTTGCTCTTCCTGGGAGGCTCCTGACATGCTACTTCCTTTAGGCCTGGATGTCCTTTCCCCAGATATCTGCCTAGATTTTACCCCTACTTCTTCAATTTTCAGCTTGAAATGTCATCTTATTAGTCCTTCTTTGACCACCCCAAATGAAATAGCAAACTCTACCCCAGCCCTGCCAAACCACTTTACCCTTCATATTTTTCTCCATAGCAGTCATCAACATTTATGTTGAATTGTTCATTGTCACTGCTCCATGGGCAAGAATGTACAAACATGGAATGAGGACCAAAATATATTGTAGTGGATACTTACAGTTTTATCTGACTAGACCCTCCCACCCTTTGTGACCTCCCCAAATAGACCCACCCTACGGCAAGCCACAGTATGGACATCTGACTCACCCTAAGCAAATTGAAGCCTTTTCCTGGGATTTGCAATTGGACTAAGATTCTAGCATAGTCTAGTTGCTCCCTTTGACCTCTAAGGACCTACAAACTTGAGACTTCTTGGTGGCCATATTGGGGATGGGCAGGGAAGAGAGGAAATGAGGACTTCCATTTTTACTTCATACACTTTTTTTTTTTAAGGAATATTAGCTTTAAGCTAACATCTGCTGCCAATCCTCCCCTTTTTGCTGAGGAAGATTGGCCCTGAGCTAACATCTGTATCCATCTTCCTCTATTTTATATATGGGATGCCTGCCACAGCATGGCTTGACAAGCAGTGTGTGGGTCCTTGCTGGGGATCTGAACTGGTGAACCTCAGGCTGCCTAAATGGAATGTGCAAATGTAACTGCTGTGCCACAGGGACAGCCCCTTTACTTCATACACTTTTGACTGGATTTTTTTCAGCCATATGAATTACTTTTATAATTAAAACATAATGCAAAATTTAAAAAATCTCATCACTAAGCCAGAGAACCACAAACACTATATGATTTCACTCATATGTGGAAGATAAACAAATACATGGACAAAGAGAACAGATTAATGGTTATCAGAGGGGAAGGGGGTTGGGAGGTGGGCATAAGGGGTAAAGGGGCACATTTATATGGTGACTGACAAATAATAACAGCCAACTGACATTTCACAATGTTATAAATTATTATGACATCATTAAGAAAATATCATATTAATACCTCCAGCTTATTCTTGGTTTACCAGAGATACTGAAAATGCTGGCTATATAACAGGAAGTGTTCCCCCGAGGTTTCTTTTTCTAAATTGTAAGGTCTGTTGTGAGAATTTGCTTTTATGTAATAAAAGCTGGTTGTCGAATAAAAAGATTTCATATACATTTATTGATGAAATAATTTTGAGCTTCTACTCTCATGAAGACAGACATAGTCTCTGACCAGTTGGAGATTACAATATAGTGGAGGATTCAAATAAACCAATAGACATTTACAATACAGTGTGGTAAAGTGCCTAGGTAGGGAAGTAAGGGATTTTGGTTACAGGGGCATCTAACATAGACTTGGGGGTTTGAGAAAGGCTTCTTAAAGTGCCTTGGGAAAGAAGAGGAAAGTAGAAGGAAGGTGCTGGGCGAGTGGAGCTGTAGACCAAGCAAAGCATTCCAGCCAGAGGGATCTACAAGTGCTCTAGGCCCAGAGGGGAGAACTTTGAGCGTTCAGCCAACTGATAGAGGCTTAGTAAGCATGGAAATTTGAAAGACTTGAAAGCCTTATTCTAAAGAGTTTGAGTTGTGTACTAAACCCAACCCAGAGCCTTTGAAGGAAGGTGATGCAGTCAAATTGCATTTCCCAAAGCTTTCTGTGGTTCTAGGGTAGAAATGGGCTGTGTGTTGCCAGTGGGAGACAATTAAGACCGGAAGCAACTCAGTTGCTATAGGCCAAGTAAGAACATGGTATCAATACGGCCTGGATACGATAGTGGCGGCTGCTTCCTATCATCACCGCCCAGGAGAGCCCCTAATAAACATCTGTTTCATTGAATTGATTGGATTTACGAGTGTAAAGGGTGGGAGTTGCTACAATTCACAGCCGTCTGGGCTGCTGGATGACGACTTGATTCAAGAAGACAGTGAACCTAGGAGGGAAAAATTGGTTGGAGGTACCAAGAGAGGTCATGCAGTAAACTGTGTACATGTACAATTAAGTGTCTTAGAGACATTAAAGTGGAAACATCCAGCGGATTACATAAGGCGTTTGCAGGGGTTTTCCTGTTGTCACCAGAAACGCTGCCGTTGTTCCACTCTTAGTTCTTTCTGAATCCCAGACGTCCCACCAAAGCTCTACAGGCACTGGCCGGCTCTCCTGCGCATGCGCAGTAGCACCAGGCGCAGGGACGACAAGGGCAATAATTTTTCCGTAACCTGAAGCAACATCCTCCTGATTCTCCATAAAAAAGGCGGGAACTAGCCAACAGGCAGGCGAATGATGGGACGCACGCATCTGCACGTCCCGCCCACTTCAGCCTCTGATTGGTGAATATCTTTGGCCCGTGGAGGAGGGGAGCGCTCCATTGGCTGTGAGTGTCCTGGGGGCAGGTCCGCGGCGACGCCGGTCCCGCTGCCCGCTGCCCGTTCTCCTCTCTCTCCTCCCCCAGCTGCCGACGTGGGGCAGCCGGCCGCAGGCGGTTAGGTGCAGCCGTGTGGGTGCGCAGCACAAGGCGGGGATGGGAGGGCTGCGGCTGCTGGCGGTGGCTCTCACCTGCTGCTGGTGGCCGCCGGGCAGCGAGGGTAAGACCGTGCGGGGCACTTTCAGCAGCGCCGCGGCCCGAGACGCTCAGGGCCAGAGCATCGGCCACTTCGAGTTCCACGGTAGGTGCTGAGGCGGGGAGAGGGATGGGGACGCGGGGGCCTGTCCCCCGCCTCGAGTTGTGGGGTCTGGAGTCGGCGGCGGCGGGGCCAGGACTTCCAGCTCACTGGGCCTTAAGCGTCCTCGGCAGCCCTCCCCCCACCGCAGCTCCCCGGAATTGTGGGGTACGTGTATTGCCAACTCCACTATTGCTGCTCCCTTCACCCTCGTCAGCACCCTCCCCCGATTAGTGACTGTGTGCTGCGCCTAGAAGATCATTTCCCCAACCCTCCCCGTGCAAACGAATGTACACGACTCGCCTGCTGCATCTTTCGAGATCCTTCCCTGAAAGAAGCATCATCTTTGCTCCCTCCCATCTCAGCCTGATTGTACACACTAAGGCTCCGTATTTACGCGTCCATTAAAGCTTCCGAACTTAGGTTTCCTGGGTTTTGGTTTTGTTTTTAAGATCGATTTGATAAAACCTACTTGCAGCAGACAGGTTTTGGAAACCAAATTTTATAATAACCTTGTCACTCTTGCTAGAGCAGTGTGGTTACTCTCTTACTAAAGGAGTGGCTTTTCTATGGACCATGAGGCCTAGGATTAACTTGACAGAAACACATGTCAATGTGTCTTGGAAGCTTCGTAATTTGTGCCCTCTCTGGCCCTTCTGAAATCAGAATTGCATTTGAGTCTTACCTTCTGGTCTCCCTCAAAGATCAATAATTCTTCAGTGAATGAATTTGCAACTCATTCTAATTTTTACTTTATTTGCATCCTCAAAATTAAGTGATTTTCTTGGTGCATACTCTTGATACTCTTGAGTAATACTATATTTCAAATAATTATTTGTCTTCATAAGGTTAGAATCCTTGGTTCATACAGTCTTTAGCATTGAAAGATGCAAGATCAGAATATTGTCCTAGAGAGGATTCTTAGGAGAAGATAATAGAAATGAGAAGCTGTTTTGTTTTGGGAAAGGAATTTGAACTATTAGGAAATTGCAGAATTGGTGGTATAAAGGGAGAGGAACCGAAATTCTTTCTTTTAATCCGAAGTTTTTAAAATAACTGAGAAAAGGAGATGCAACCCAGTTTTCCAAAATCCGATGTGGAACGTACTTTGGTGAATGAAGAAGAAATTCTAGAAACAGAGTTTTATGATTTTTCAGGTAACATTTTCAGTTTCTTAGTCAACTGGCTGTAACTATACTTGAGTATTGACAGTGATAGTAATGTTGCCACAATAAATGGTACAATCTGGACAGTGCTGGAAAACTTGGGATTATGGAAGCTGTGACATGGATTATTACTCATCATTAGCAGAGACAACCCCGATATTTTCTGATGATTACCTGGTAAACACAGAGGAGAAATATATGTAGTAAATCCAGATTTCTCAAGAAAGATTGAGAAATAGTGTTCCAAGTATATTAGCTCCCTTTCTCCCTCTCTCTCTATGTATATGTAATTATTATTACCAATTTTCAGTGAATTCGAATTCAGTAAAATTAATAATTCTGAAACTATGCTGAAATAATGAACTCTAATTCAGAATGCTATTTAAGTTTAATAGGGCCTTAAAGTCACTTTTAAGACTTTGAAAGTTTTTGTGTTTTTTTTTTTTTAAAGATTGGCACATGAGCTAACAACCGTTGCCAGTCTTCTTTTGCTTTTTCTTCTCCCCAGAGTCCCCCAGCTCATAGTTGTGTATTCTAGTTGTGGGTTCTTCTAGTTGTGGCCTGATGAGCGGTGCCATGTCTGCACCCAGGATCAGAACTCAGGAAACCGTGGGCCTCTGAAGCAGAGCGCGCGAACTTAACCACTCAGTCACAGGGCCGGCCCCCAAGACTTTTGATAATTTATAGTGTAATCAATTTATGTAGGAGACTTAGACATTCTGTGATGCATACTATACATTTAAATTTATTTAAAATCTTTAATCAAAGTAATAATTATAATAACAAAAGTAAAAGCAACAAGAACAGGAGAATAGAAGGTCTTAAGATGACAAATGGAAAAACAGTCTCCTGGTTCACTTCTCCTCACTCAGAGTCCATTTCCATAGAGGCAACTATTTTTTGCCTTTTCTCTTCTGAGCCTTAAGTGTAGTTGGTGTGTGCAACCAGGCTCATTCTATAGTAGTCTTAAACATACCTTGTTCTGAAAAGTTCCTTTGTAAGTCACAGCTGTCAAATTTTGTGTCACGTGTAAAATGTCTACCCCAAAATTCATTCATTTAAACTTTCTTGCTATTAGCTATGATTATTTTTTATGTGAAAAGTATAATTAAATATTAACAGCCATGTTATATTAAAAAATAAAGGAAACTTTGGCAGGAAATTTCCTATAGATAGTTTATGAAGAGATGTTAAAGACATGGAGTGATTGTAAAATGAGGCGAAAGTCTGTTACACTGAAGGTCCACGCACAGCAGATGCTGCTGTTTACTCAAGTGAAATGTCAGTTATCAGCTGAAGTATAAGGAAACACAGCACATTGATTTGGATAGTTAATGTGCGTAACCTCTCGACTTGTGTCTTAATGGGATATTCATTATAGCGTGATCTACCCAGTTAAATGAGATTTAAGAAAAATTGTGCTGTTTAAATTCCCATTTTGAGAAGTAGAGCTGTTGAATTTTCTTGCCCTCTCAGTTCCATACAAGACCAAACTAATTGATAATTTTTGTTTTAATGTCCAGGTGACCATGCTCTCCTGTGTGTCAGAATCAACAACATAGCAGTAGCTGTTGAGAAAGAAGCTAAACTCTACCTGTTCCAAGCCCAGGAATGGCTAAAGCTGTGGGAAAGCAGTCGTGGTTATAGCTGTAGTGAAAGATTATCCAAAGCTCAGTTGACAAGTGAGTATATCCTCTTTTTTTTTTAATGATTAGAGACATTTTTTTCTTCAGTGTTGAAATATAGTGTTTTCATACCAAGATGTTGCGTGACACAGCACACATCACACTGTAATGACACTTGTCTTAGTACATTTTAAGCTGAAGTTTAAGGAAACTAACCTCTTCCTTGACCAAAAGATAGAATGTGTTTTCCCCCTTTTATCATTGACAATTTTTGAAAAAATATCCAGATAACTTATAAAGGTGTCCTTTCCTTCATTCGTACTTTTTGCGGGTCATGTCATTCATACCAGTATGGCAGGTATATTTTGACCCAGTGGCAGCGTGAAGTGAATGATAATATTTATTGAATGCTTATTGTCTGCAAGCACTGAGCTAAGCACTAAACATGTATTATCTCACTTAATTGTATAGTTTAGCCAAAGTGATACTATTTTGCAACATGTTATTGGAACACAGGACCTAGTCATATGGTGACACCATATGTCATTTTGGGATGTACCAGCATCACATTATTTGTAATCCTCTAGGTTTGCCTTTAGGGAGGCTCTGATTTTATTTTCCTGGTTGTCTGAATCCTTGAGCTCTTCCGTTCTCATCAATACTATCCCATACGTGAGAGTGTTAGTCATCCTGAGGGAGTTCAGATCTTTTTTTTTTTAAGATTGGCACCTGCGCTGACATCTGTTGCCAATCTTTTTTTTCTTCTTCTTCCCAAAGCCCCCTTAGTACATGGCCGTATATTCTAGTTGTGAGTGCCTCTGGTTGTGCTATATGGGACGCCATCTCAACATGACCTGATGAACGGTGCCATGTCCGCGCCCAGGATCTGAACCGGTGAAACCCTGGGCCGCCAAAGCAGAGCGCACTAAGTGAAACACTCAGCTACAGGCCGGCCCCTCAGATCTTTTTAATACAGAATTGAATAGCATTTGCCATGCTACCCATTTTACGTGTTGGAAGTTCATTGGTTGAAGGAGATATTAGGAAAGTGAAGCCTCCACGAAAAAATATAGGAATCATCCCACCTCTTTTTTTTTTTAAAGATTTTATTTTTTTTTTCTTTTTCTCCCCAAAGCCCCCCCGGTACGTAGTTGTATATTCTTCATTGTGGGTCCTTCTAGTTGTGGCATGTGGGACGCTGCCTCAGCATGGTTTGGTGAGCAGTGCCGTGTCCGCGCCCAGGATTCGAACCAACGAAACACAGGGCCGCCTGCAGCGGAGCGCGCACACTTAACCACTCGGCCACGGCTTTTTTCCCCTATATTTCCTCAGCCATGTTCTGCATATCAATGAATCTCTGAATCTTCTTTTAGTCTAGTCAAATAAAATGTGTGTCATTACTACACATCGACTCTTCCTAGTTTTAGCAGCTGCCTTGTTCCCTCATAAGGCAGATAGCCAGAATAGGAATAAGAGCAGAAGTCCCCAATCCTTGCCACCCACTGTGGGCATCTTTTGTCGAGATTTGTGAGATGACACTGACAGTATGCTGAAGAAGTCTGAATGACTAGATTCAGATATCAAACAGTTAGTTATATAAAGTTATTTACCTCAACCCTGAATTTCAGAACTTACCTTGGAAATTGGTGCAAATGCTCGTTATCAGTTATCTTTTCCTTTCTATACCAATTTGGTCATCTAAGTGTTCCACGTATGTATAAAAAGTTCTGGCCTTCTGTTCTATTATGATGTCCAAAACTGAACTCACCATCTTCCCCATCCAAAGCTGGTCCTCTACCAGTTTTTCCCGTTTCAGGAACTGGCACTACCATCCATCCAGTAAACAAGCTAGAAACCAAGAAGTCTTCCAATGCTCCCTTCTTTGACCTCTCTCTCCCCTTCCATTCTATCAGTAAATGACTTCTAAATATCTTGATTTCATCTTGTCTTCTTTGTCTCTACCTCCAGCATGTTATTCCAGGCTGCCGCAGTCTCCTACCTGTACTATTGCAATAGCCTGCTACTTGGCCACTGCGACCATGCTGGTCCCCCTCTGTAACCAGTGATTCTTTGGAACAGCAGATTTGACCATGTCACGTTCACTTCCTCACCACACCCTTCCCACTTCAGTGGTTCACTCCTGCTCCTCGGACAGACACGCTTCCTTAAGCTGGTCAGCAAAGCCATCATAGCCAGGCCACTGCTCACCCTCAGCTGCATCTCCCACGTTGCCCCTCCTGCCTCGTCTTATTTGCAAGTGCGTGTTGACTGCAGTGCTACGCTGGGCTTTTGCAGGCTTCTCCTGCGTGTTCTTCCTTCCCCTCTTCGGCTCCTCCCTCCACTAAGTTAACACTCAAGTTTCTATAGCCTCTTGTTTTCCTCCACAGCACTTACTGTAGTTACCACTTTACGTTTCTTTGTTTCTTATAAAATCAGTCAGTGAGAGCAGCAGAGCTCCTTCGGTCTGTTCATTCACTTAGCATTTCCACTGTTTCATGTTCTATGCTGGGAACTAGTGATAAATCAGGGACTAGAGTACTGACACTTTCTCAGTCCTCAAGACCAGAAGGGGTGACAGGAATGAATCAGGAATGAGTGAATAGAGGTGAAATTTTAGTTGTGTTAAGTACTGCGAATGTTAGTAATTCATAACTGACAGGAAGAGAGAATGAGAATTTACGAGACCCTGGTGTTGAGACCCTGGTGTTGAGCTAACTGAGGATTTGTGGGGTGATTTGTCCTAGAGTTTAGTGCTTAAGTGCTTATTTGGTGGGTAGGTTGTTTGCTTCATATTTGACACCTCAAAGTCTTTTTCTTTCTCCAGTAAAAACTTATTAGACAGTTTAAAGCTTTGACTGTAGGCATTTATTTGTCTTCTATCACAGTCAATATCATAACATAGATTATATACACTTGTAAAAACATAATTTTTGAGTCAGTGATACCCCTTCAGTCACAGAACTTCTGTATACAGGGAGACAATGTGGTGCAGTGGGAAGACCGCTAACCTGAGAATCACCGCTAGTCGCTTGGAACGAGATCATGTTGTTCTTGTTGGATTAGTTTTCTCTAAGGTTCCTGAAAGTCCTAAAAATGCTATGATTCTAATTATAATTCTTTAGGATGGAATTATGTTAAGAGAGGGCTGTGACTTATGAGACCTCTTGGTGTTGGTTCTTTTTCTATTTTCTCCTCCTCTTCCCTACTCTGCTGTGTGCAGGGAATTATTGAAACAGAACATCTCAGGAGACAGGAATTTTAGAGGAACCAAGATTGTTGTGTTAAATTTTGGGGCCTGAAATAAATTAAGTACTGGTGATATATATATCACTTTCTACATATTTCAAAAATTCTTTTTCCAATAACAAAGTCTGAGTCTTAAGAAAATCAGTATTGTCTAACTCTTATGTATTAGTTGTCATATTTATAGTATTAACATTATTGAGGAGCTTAGGTGTATTGAAACAAAAAACATATTCTTAAATTCATGACAGTGTAGTAGTAACATATATTTTAAAATAATTCCTTGTAGAAAGTGCATTTTCTGGCCATTAATGAGACTTTCTAAAACTAATAGGCTTTTACCTACTTGGTAATGAGTTCATTAAGTGTGCCTGACTCCTGTGTAAAATCTTGCTGCTTCCACAAACTGTGAGAAGACTAGCAGATTTGAAAAAATCTCATAGCGTCAAATGTTGCTTGACTCATTCTTCCAAATTAATGCTCGAGAAATTATTTTCTAGTCTTCTTTTTGTTCTCTTTCGCTAATGACATAAAACATCAGATTTAAAAAAAAAAAATACAAACTATTTTGTAAGTTTTTAAAGCAAGTAATCAAAATATTTAAAAGCACTGAAAATAATGAGTTCTATGTAAAAAAAAATTTAACAAGGAGATTCAGGGTAATCTGTCAGATTACAAGAGCTAAATATAATTTTGTATATAAAGCATTTTAGATATTGTCTTTTTACATCATATGCGTGTATTTTCTTTTGTACATTTGGTATATTTTGTAAATCATTTAAAGGTCTTACCATTTTATTCTGTGTATTTTGGTAAACAGTATTCATTTCCTTTTATAATATGATTGGGCAGTTAGCCATTCAACACCATTCTCTGCAATTCAGGTTTTGTTAATATTTGAGATTCTAATTACATCAGCATAGAATATGCATGCTGTGCTGTAGTTTTTTGTCTCAAAAACAATGAACACACAGTTTTGTCAAGAGGCTTGTTTCCCAGGCTTGCTAAAAATGGCAGCAAGACAAAAATTAAAGGACATTATCACTTTATGAAGCACACTTTTGTTTCTGTTTGATGTAAATCTGCATAATTTAAAATGAAACATCAAAAAATATATTGGTAAAAATACAATGGTTAATTTTTGTATTGTTTTAGCTAAGACAAAAAGTGCAAGGGATAAAACAGCAATACAGCAGAGCCTTTACATAATGAGGTCCAGATTATGTAATTGCAAGCTACACATTTCAGAAGCCTTATTTCTGAGCTACTTATTGATCATATATTAAATTCTTATTAAAGATCTTCAAATATTTAACAGAAATTAGTCTTTGCTACATTTTTCCAGAAGCTGTACAGTAAAAAAAAAAACCAGTATAAATGTCAGCTAACTTCAGATAGCCAAAAAAGCAGTGCTGTGGTATTGTTAATAAAATCATTGTGTCAAATTTAACTACTAGTCAATGAGATTCTCGATTGTAAAGTCCAAGTCCTCAAAATTTGAATCCTCACCAGATGCATCTGTATCTCATCTATAAAGACAACCTATACATAACATTTTCCCAATTTTTTACTAGGAAAGTTTTCAGTCATACAGAAAAGTTGAAAGTATAGTACAACCAACATCTATACATCCTTGGCTTAGACTCAGTAATTGTTAATATTTTGTTACATTTACTTTATTTTTGTGTGTGTGTGACTTTTTTTTTAACTGAGCCGTATGAAAATAAGCTGTGGATGTCATGAACGTATTTCAGCATACTTCTTTTAAGAGTAAGGCCACTCTTCTCCGTAACCACAATACCATTATTACAGCTAAGAAAACAAATAATTTCATAATGTCCTTAAAATCTCTTCCCATATGCAAATTTCCACAGACCTCAAGAAATGTCTTTTATTTATTAAAAAGTTTTTTTTTCTTCAGCTGAGAAAAAGATCAAGACTAATTGGCATGCTGTGGGGGGCAATCTAGAGTTGGGAATTGTGCCCATCATAATCTTATGTTTTAGGAATACTCTATTAGAATCAGACTCTACATAGGATTTTCATATACTGTTTCATTTGCTCCTCACAAGAACTCTGAGCTAGATAGGGCAGGTATCTTAATTTTACTACTGAAGAAACAAATTTAGAGAGGTTAAGTAATTTATTTGCTGAGTCACAAGGTTAGTAAGTAGTAGGGCCAAGACTTGCTTGTCCGACTCTTCTACTCTTTATTATACACAGCATTTGAGACAGTGCTGTCTTACAACTGTGTGATGGTGTTAGTGAGTGCCTCTTAGGGCAGAATCATACTTTTAGATCTGGAAGGGATCTTAGACATCATTTAGTGTTTCTCAAAGGGGTGCTATTGGCGTTTTGGGTGGAAAAGTTCTTTATTGTGTAAGACTTCACCTTGTATTGCATGAGGCTTAGCACAGTCCCCTCCAAGTATCTCCTCAACTATTGTGAGAACAAAACTGACCCTACAAGTTTTCAGATGCCCTGGAGGGGAACAGGATTATGCTGGCTTGAGAACCACTTATGAGTATAACCACTGTGTTTTAAAGAAAGGAAAAGGAGAATTAACCTTTATTCAGTAACTACTGTATGACAGATACCATACTAAGTGACTCATATAACGTAGTCCTTGCGTCAGCTCTTTGCTCTAAGTATTATCTTCATTTTACAGATGAATAAAGTGAGTGTCATTGCTTATGTAACTTGCCTAAGGTCACATAGAAGGTAAGTCCTGGAGCCAGGATTCAAGCACAGATCTGTAAGATACCAACATTCCTGAATCCGCCCCACCCCCCGCCGTGCAGACCTGACCCAGCATGATAACTCTTATAGATTTTGGGGAATCTTTTGAAGGTATTTGTCAGTCAGAGTTTTTAGATATCGTAATTTCTTAAGTTGAATGTTCCATTTTAAGTAATTTTCAAAAATAGCACTGTGATGGTTGCATAGCATTGTGAATGTACTTAATGCTACAGAACTGTACACTGAAAAATTGTTAAAATGGCAAACTTTTGTGTTGTGTATATTTTCCCATGATAAAAATTTTAATATCACCGGCCTACTTGAAAACGTAGGAAATATTTAAAACTAAAATTCAGAGTTTCTGTGAAACCATTCTACTCATTTGTGGTGGTTCATAGTACTTTTATAGTGATTCCTTTGGTTAAGATAGGTTATTTTTGTCTGCTTTATGATTTACAGACCTTATTCCAGTACTACACCAGGGTGTGCATTTCCACAGCAATAAGAACTAAATAAGAGAACTCTAACTTCAAATTAATTATATGACTAAAACCATGAATACATTTGAGAGTTTTGCTTTGAAAGTGCTATTTTCTTTCTCTTTAAAGTGACCATGAATCAGACTGAACATAATCTGACGTTGTCCCAGATTCCGTATCCACAAACGTGGCACGTGTTTTATGCAGACAAGTATACGTGCCAAGATGACAATGAGAATTCTCAGGTGGAAGATATCCTATTTGAAATGATGTTACTAAATCCGGATGCCGAAGGGAATCCATTTGATCATTTTAGTGCTGGAGAATCTGGTAAGAATATATATTTAAATATATGTCCTAAATACCGAAAAGGTTTTTGCACAAATATCTTCATGTTGTATTTTTAGAATATTAAAAATTAAAAACAACTTATGTATTCAACAGTAGGGAAGGCTATGCTATTGAGTTAAAAAAGGATACTAAATTTTTTATTGTATGATTGCAAGTATCTTAAAAAATGCAGAGAATAAACAGAAAGAAGTACAAAAATATTAACAGATTGTTTCTGTATGTTGGGTGGTAGAATTATGGATAGTTTTATTTTCTTCTATACATTCTAAATCTTTTTGTTTTTATGATAACCTAGCATTATTTTTATAAACAGAAAAATGTTGATAAATTAAGCAATGTAAATTGGAAACTTAATGATTAAGATTAGGAACTGCACTACTTTGTATGACTATCCTTTCTCTAGGTGTTTGAGCAGATTTAGGCATTGCCTTCATTGGAGCTTGCAACCGTTTTAGGAGTGATCAAAGTTTATAATGCTTTCCAAAAGTCAGATTTATTCCCGTAAAATATTTCATCAAAATTTTAGGTTGACTGTGTACTATACTACTGAACTAAGACTCCCAGCCCAAACAGAAATGAATGACTTCTTGTGAATCATGATAGACATGCTTATAAAGTATCCTAACATTTGTAAATTAGCATGTCAGAATCAGAACTAAGATCTGTAGGCTGTCTGTCAAAGAAAAGGGCTTCTTGAGTTCATTACCCATTTGGAAGGGTCAGACTGCTTAGAGGAAAATTCAATCCCATTACATCTCATTGATCATCAAGGTGGGTGGGTGGAAGTAGGGCAGGAATTGAGTGAGGTCACATTAGACTAAACCCATTGTTTAGTTCAATTGCCCATTGTTTAGTAAATTGCCACAACTAGGAAAGCCATTCAAGGAGCATGTGTTAATGGACAATAGATCACAAGTAACTTAATGTATGAAGAGATAAACTTTTTTTTGATATTCTTTTGTCTGAAAATATATATACATAGTGACAAAGTGGGGTACTAAACATTTTCAAATAGTTAATTCTAAAATTTCTTGTGTCAATGTAATGACATAAGGGTAAGCTACTCAGGTTGTTTTTGAATACAGATGAATTTAAAGATTAAATTTCACTTAATGGTACTTTGGATCAGTGTAGATCATTCTTGGAAGTTAATTCAGTCCTACCGTTTCCTTTATCTTTATAAAAGATGTTGATATTTATTTTCTGTAGTTTGGAAAGACATTGATGAAACCCGTGTCTACTGATAACGTTGGATGGATGGTTGGACTAAATTGCTTTTAAGGTCCGTTTTAACAATAAGGCTTCATTATTTCATGTGACACATTTTTAGGACTGGTCAAGGCTCAGCGGGAAGTCATGCTCTGCTGCGATCACTGTACATGCAAAGTTTGCTGCTTCCAGTGGAGTCCAGAACCAATAACCCTTCCCCCTCCTGCCTTCCAGGCAGTTGGCCTTTGGCTCAATAGAATACTTTAATTATTGTGTGGATCCATGAGACTCTACAGGATCCTGATGTGCTTTTTCTTGCCCCCTTATTTAGGCATCCCATTTCTGGTCTCTTTCCTCTTTCCTAATTTGACATCCTAATCTGCCCATATGTATTCGAGTATTTTCTTCAATATCCTAAATTATGGCTAGCTTTTTCTTCAGGGTTCACGCTACCCATTCTGATTCAGTTCTTATTCCTGACTCCTGACCTACCTTCTCCTGTGACAGATTTTGATAATACGCTTATACTTATGATTAAAAATCTGTCTTTTTTGTACCAGAATGGGGAAAGTTACATTGGTCATGTCACCAATAATATTTAAATGAGGGACAGAACCTCACTATAGTATGTATTTTCATTAAGCATGGGATTTTGTGCAAGGCCAATCTATGGAGATTGATTATTAAAAAGTGTCTTGAAGTACTCAGAAGTATTCAAATTTATTATGTGGCCGGCTTAGTTCTTTAGGATCAGATCAGTTTATTGATGCCTAAAAGCCATAAAATATGATTAATTCTACATTGCCATAAAATGTGGTTAATTCTACATTGAAGTCTAGATTGGGGGTCTCAGCCCATCACTGTGAATGCGTCTGGAGAGCTTTAAAAAAATAGATGTCCATACCAGAGACTCATCTGTGTTTGGTTTTGGAGTGGAAGCTGGGCACTTGTAGTTGGTCAAAGCCCTGAAGGTGATTTTTAATGTGTGGAACCGCCGATCTAAAAGTCCGTGTTCCGCATTGTTTTGGTGATGTGTTGGTTTTAAAGGGGAGCCTTAAGAGGGATTCTACCTGCTCTGTAGCTTCAGGTGTGGAATTTGTTTCCAGGAATAATCCCCAATCAGTTCCTTTTAGAAACGTTTGCTCATTTGTCTGATTTTCTGCCCCGAATAGGAAAAATTGGTTTGCTGTGCTTTCTACTGAAAATTGACTGTTAAACCATATATCCGAAAGGTTTGGATTAGAATAACCTGGTGCAAATAGCTGCAATTAATGTTATGTGTTATTCTGGTTAAATTTTATAATTCGTATTCTTTCAAACCAATTAGGGATTTTATATCTACCAGACTTTGGTTAATCCTATATTTTACAGACTTGATCTAGATTTTAAAAAAACTAAGGCAAGTTTGATGCCATTTGACAAAATACTACATAGGAATATCATGCTTTAAGGTAGAATAAATAAATCTGCTTCTTAAAAAAATTAAAATCCTCGTTAACTGTATCTATGCTCTTGTTAGAGACCAAAACAAGTACCCAGAATTCTGAGAGTTAAAGCATTATCATTAAAGTAGACTGGTTTTCATTGGAATAATATCACAGGCTCTGTCACATCTGCCGTCTCACTGTTTTTAAGATTCCAGATATGTTCTTTCTTTTCTCTTGTTCCTTTTTAGCTCTGTCGTCCCCAAAAATAATGGGTTGGATCTTCCATTTAGCTCTGGTAACATGTTGGAATGCTTTTGGCTTAAAGTATTAGAAAACTCGAATACAAGTGGTGTAGACAATAAGGAAATGTATTATCTTATATCACAAGAATTTCTGAGGCGTTTTCAGAGTGGTTTATTCAGCATCTCTCTGCTGTTCTCTTCTCTGACTGTCAGCTTTGTCCTTAGGCTAACTCCCTCACGTTCAAAGACAACTGCAGCAGTTCTGGGCGTCACCTGTATGTACAGTCATGCGCTGCATAATGATGTTTCAATCATCAGTGGGCCACATATATGATGATGGTCCCATAAGATTAGTACCATACAGCCTAGGTGTGTAGTAAGCTGTACCATCTAGGTTTGTGTAAGTACACACTATGATGTTCACACAACAACAAAATTGCCTAACGGCGCATTTCTCAGAACATATGCCCATTGTTAAGCAACTAATGACTGTAATGGCAAAATTCAGTATCTTTTTTTAAGAGTAAGAAAACCTTTCTCAGAGGCTCCCTCATCACATTTCACTGGCCAGAACTGAGTCACATGCCCTTGTTATACAACATCATAAGAAGAATGTAAGCAAAGATGTCAGAAGGAAGATAAGAGTAGACCAATATGTCAAAGTAAAGGATTAAGCTTACTTCTTATTGCCAAGGGTCTTGGAATTTCTCTGATTGATTTAGACTAATCAGGAAAGATCTTGAGACACTTGAGGGTGAGGTAGATATTGGGGCTCTTGGATAGCAAACATAGTGGGTAGGCAAGAGTGTTTGAGGTGCTGCCCCATGACGCAGTGACTCTCCCCTTTCCTTACCCTCTTTTCTCCCGTCTCCCTCTTCCATCATTTAGCTGGAGCTAAATTTTTTGAAGCTGTTCTGTAAGTTTTCTTCCTGCTGAATTTTGCCAATGCTTCTTCCCATTAAGCCTGCCTTAAAATCTATAGATTTCCTTATGACCTAAGTGTTTGCCACCTTTGCATGCTCATTTTAGAGCATTTTTCTGGGGCTGGCCCAGTGGCAAGCACTTAAGTTTGTGTCCTTGGCTTCAGCCGGGGGTTTGTTGGTTCGGATCCCTGGCACAGACCTAGCACCGCTCATCAAGCCACGCTGTGGCGGGCATCCCACATAGGAAGTAGACTAGGAAGATGGGCACAGCTGTTAGCTAAGGGCCAGTCTTCCTCAGCAAAAAGAGGAGGATTGGCAGCAGATGTTAGCTCAGGGCTGTATCTTCCTCAAAAAAAAAACGTATTTTTCTTCTTTTGTGTATAGGTAGGATTTAATACCTAGTATCTATCTGTTTTAAAATTAGATTTTAATTTCAAAATGAGCAAACATAAATTGCTTTCTTGTGAAGGGTGGTGGCAGAACAAAAATAAAGTTGATAGCTGAAGAGAAAAAACGCTTTTTTCCAGAGGTGATTTATGTGAAAGAACACTGAGTGCAGAATCAGGGTTTTATCTTTAAAGTGTCTTGTTGACAGGATCAAGGTAAGAATAATTTATGCAAAATTCGGTGAACAAAATGCCTGACAAATGTCATAGTTCAAGTTATTTAATATATTATCTGAATGAAACAATTTGTTGGTTATAATGTTATCTTTTTCTGGAAGATATTTAATTTTGAATAATCTGAAAACATTTTTTTTGCTGATGACATATGTCTTATTTTCAAACGTCTCTTCCTCCTATATTATTCTGATTACTCGGTAAATAGTCTGAGGATTTTCTTTCCATGGTAGATTTGTAACCTAATGGAGTCTGAAACTTTGTCTTGTAATGGATATTCTGTGAAGTGTTATAAATAAATAGAAGTTTAAATAGAATGCCATGTTGAATTCTTTATACTAAAAAAAAGATGAAAACTAAGATTCAAAACACAGGACAGTGTAAAGAATTTTACTGACCCCCAGTTGTAACACGTTTAGCTTATTTTCTGTCTTGTTCCATTACTATAACAATCCCAGGCTGCTTGTCCCTTTATTTCTAAAGCTGGAATATTTTTCTACGTAAGAAGTTTGAAAAAAAAATATGCCTCTTCTATTATTTGGTCTTCTCTTCATGAAGTCTAAGCATGCTTTTTCACCTGGACTCGAGAACTGGACCAGCGACATTAACATACGTAGAGCAGGAGAGACACCCAGTGGCTGAAATACTTCTTACCTCGCTCTCTTTTTTTTTTCTCCTAACCGTGCCAAAAACATGTCTGATATTGAACTGTTTATTGACTGTTTTTCCTACTATTTGTATCTTCTGGATTGCTTTTCCAGAAAGATTTTCCATATAATGGCAATATTCCCTTCTCTGCTGTTGATTGGCGTTTACCCCGAGTGGGAAACTGGAGCAGGTTCAGTGTTGACAATCAGAATGCAAGTGATTGCAGCTTAGACTGTTGATCCAAAGACTCAGAGACAGCTCTGTTCATAGCCACTGTCACTATATTCCAGTGTTTAGATAGAATATAAAAGCCCTAATATTAGGGACTAGCTTTAGATGTAACCAGGTAAATCTAAGCCATTAAACTCAAAACTAGCCCTCTGGTTTATTATAAAAGTTTTCTGGGGGCCGGCCCAGTGGCACAGCGGTTAGGTTTGCACATTCTGCTTCGGCAGCCTGGGATTTGCCGGTTTGGATCCTGGGTGCGGACATGGCACCGCTTGTCAAGCCATGCTGTGGCAGGCATCCCGTGTATAAAGTAGAGGAGGATGGGCACAGATGTTAGCTCAGGGCCAGTCTTCCTCAGCAAAAAAGAGGAGGATTGGCAGCAGATGTTAGCTTAGGACTAATCTTCCTCGAAAAAAAATTTTCTGAAATTTCTGAAAAATGAAGACACAGTCGAGGTACTTGGGTAATGCAGAAAAAGGGTGTTTGTCTTGAGGATGCATGAAGACTGTACTGAAAAGCTGCTAGTAGGAACTAGAGGCTCATTAATGACTACCACCATTTTTAATATAAAATCTGCACATTTAGTTTGTTCTTGTCTTTCCCAACCAGCTCCCTTCGCTCATTCAAAGTTTCTTCTTACTCACAATTTTAATTTTATCGTGGCCTGACTTGACTTCTTTGGCCTGTCCCGATATCAGCTCCTTTCACCTTCAGTTTCTGTTGCCTAATTCTTTCCACATTTTATGGTTTCATTTCCTGAGAGAATACGATTGGCCTGACTTATCTCTGAGAGCTAAATTCTGCTGTTGGCCGGGCGGGTGTTTGGATTGGTAGCCATTTGGTCAGGAGTTGCAGTTCCAGTCGACTGGGGGGGGGGGAGTCAGGTGGTCTCCATAGGATTTCCTCTGTGACAAGAGCTGCAGACAGTTTATTTCAGAGGGGGACTCTGGTCGTCACAGGGGTTTTGAAGCTTTGTCCAAATGGGGATTTAAGGTAATGGTACATTCCAGAGCTGTGGTTCTCACGCTCTCGCTGCATCAGAATCAGCTGACGGCCTTGTTGAAACACAGATGGCTGGGCCCACTCCCACAGTTTCTGATTCCGCAGATCTGGGATGAGGCCCAAGAATGTGGATTTCTAACAGTTCTGCTGCTGCTGCTGCTGGCGGCTAGGGGATCACCCCGAGAACCATTGTCAGGCTGTATTAAACTGTTGTTGACTGGCTAAACCTGTGCCTAAACTTCTTAAAAGGGAAATCTACTTTAGGGGTAAAAAGTAGTAAAAATTGATGTCTAACTGAATGCTGAAATCATTGTTTTAATGCACTACTTTGAAACAAAACTGTGATCTTATTGTTAGTCTTTGGGCTTATTCCCTGACTGCTGTGCTTTTTTATAGATTGACTTTAACTGGTTTAGTTTAATCTGCCTTCTGATACTTGAAACTTTATCCCAAAGTAGAAAATTGTTTACATTTTAATAATTTCCCTTTTTTTCCTCTTACAAAAGTGAATGTTATGACTCCAATTAAAAAACAAGTTCTAGAAATATATTGACAGGAAGATTTGAAAGCAACCCAACACTATGACTGGCTTTGTTTTACTGAAGCAAACTCCTTTCTTCTTTTCACAGGGTTACATGAGTTCTTTTTCCTCCTAGTCCTAGTGTACTTTGTGATTGCTTGCATTTATGCTCAATCATTGTGGCAGGCTATTAAGAAAGGAGGACCCATGCACATGATTTTAAAAGTTCTGACAACTGCATTGCTGTTACAAGCTGGTTCAGCTTTAGCTAATTACATTCATTTCTCCAGGTAACTCAAAACCACTAAAACTGTGTTCATCATTACGTCTAATTAATCCTCATTAGTCTCCCAAAATTATGCTTGCTTTGATTATGAACAAGTTTTTTCACAGTTATAATTTATACTAATACTCTCCTCTTCAATTCCTCAGTTACTCCAAAGATGGAATAGGGGTACCTTTTATGGGAAGTTTGGCCGAATGTGAGTATCTTTCTGAGCAATTTTTTAACATAAACTTGCTATCTCCTTCTTGTTTGTTTTCCTTTTTTGTAAATTATTTTTTGTCATAATACATTTTTTTCTATTCAAGCTTCGTTAGAATTCGTCTTGCCTACAAACAGGGTTATAGATTTGGTTCCTAGTATGTTCTGTTTAGTTTCTTCTTAATAATGGGTAACATGCTCTTCATTGTTTTTAGAGCATATTTATATGTTTTCTTATTTTATCCTCAATAAAAATTTAGTAGGTATGCTTACCCTTATTTTGCAGGTAAAGAATGTGGACTCAGTGACATGAAGCCCATTTCCAAATGTCAGTCAGCTATTGAGTGGTAGAGCCAAGACTCAGACCCAAGTTTTCTGACCCCAAAGCTGAAGAGTTTTTTCCCCTGTTTTTATCCCTTTTTTGACTCTTTTTCTCTATTTCTGACCCAGAGCCGTAGAGTACACCAATAATTGAGCTGACCTCACAGCTTTGTTCTTTTATTTATAAGAGGAATTCTTATAAATATTTTTCAATTAAGCATGATGGGAAAAAGTATTTAAAAGTTCCCATAATTGTGACTTTTTAAAGAAAATCAGGTCATATGCTATTCTCAATTCTGGAAAATAGTTAAGATTTGCTCTAAAAAAGCAGCTTCTGAATATGAAACAATTCCAGAATTTTCTTTTCCTTACATTTCTGTATTTCTCTTCTAGTCTCATCATTCTTTATTAGGATAGCTTATGGTAATTTCTGTAATCATCTTAGGACCCACTTATCCTGATCTTGCTGCCTATTTTAAGATTCTAAACTTCTAGAACCTTTCATTTTCCTAGTGAAGAGGACATGTACTAGTCACCTCTCGGGCATGAACAAGAGTTGCTTTCTCCTTTTTGAACATTATCTGGAGCCCTGATTTCTCCCAGTCTTTTCTCATAGGTGACTCAGGATATTTAATAGAACCATATAATTCTAAAGCTGGACAGAACCTTAGAAATAATTTAGGATATGCATTTTAGAGGAGGAAATTGAGGTCCAAAGAGGCAAAGCACATAGAAGCCCATCGGTGGCGAGCTCCACTACAGTCAAGGAATTTTGCATTTATGTGGCTGTCTGCTATATACAAAACGGTGTTTTAGGCTGTCTGGCATCTTCACTGGAGCTTTGCAAGCAAAAGTCTTTTTTTAAAAACTACAGTAAATCAATGTTGCTAATTTTGGTAGTTCTGACAACAGGTTTGGTTAAATGATTAAAATTTCAGGATTTTTAATCAAATCCCACAGAATGGGATTTTTGTGTGTTCTGTGTATTTTATCTACAATTAGTTATTTTTCAGCAACAGATAAGCAGTGTTCTACCTATCCTCACAGTTATGGTAGTCTATCAGTATCTGCTTTACTTGGTTTATAAAGAAATAAGCTAGAAAATAAGGGATCTTTTTCCTCCCAGTATTTGTTTTTGCTAATTAGCAACTTATGTGGGAATATTCCCTTGGCTAACTTCTTTAAGTAATTGAATATGTGTTTGTGAAATGTTTAATAAAAATAATTGGTGTCACAGTCATTTAAAATCTATGATGAAAGAAAATTGTGCTTGATCTGAAAGTCCGTGACATTTTATGTCATTCCAACGTAGTGACAGTTTATTATGAGAGTTCGCTATTACACATATATAAGCATAAATGTAAAGTATCCAGTTTCAATTTTTATGGGAGTCTGAGGAAAAATATGTCAAAATATATCTGAAAAGGTATATTATTAATAGATTTTTGGCTTGTAACTTTTAAATCTAAAGATTATACCATAGGTAGTTTTATCTGTTTCTCCAAAAATATCTTTGTATAAAAGAAGTAAAAATTGTAGACATCAAAGTTATGGATGTCAATTTGAGGAAAGCTTTACTGTGTTAAATTGCGATCATATATTTATTCCAAAATCTACATGAAAATACACTTTGATGAGAAAGTGATAATCTTTTTTTAAAAAATCAATAAATACTAGCTTCTAAGATAAATATGCATGGAACTTGAAGTATTTATAGGTGGTTGTATTTTTGTGTTACTGAACTGCATGAAGGTGGTTTTGTTGCATCCTTGTGAAAGTAGCGGGCTTCTCCTGCAGTGTAAGCGATGGCCACCTGGTGGCACATCACACTAATGCATAGAGCATTTCATTTGTCCTCGGGACCCTGACACTAAAGGCAACATAATTGGATGTTACAGCAGCTATGCGTTTTTATTGTCATGCTATTTCTTATTAACAGTTTTAGAAAATAAATTTACATTGTATAGTTCAGCCATCAAAAAAAAATCAATGACCCAGAAATAAAGCACTAGTATTCTCTACATGGCAGAAATTATATTTAAAATTCATTTATTTTAATAAGCAGTGAGTTATAGAGAACAGGATTATGTAGTTAGAAAAGTTAAGAAAAGTGGGAAATGCAAAGAGGTTTAAAGTTGACCTTAATAAATATATGATATGGGAGCATATATATGTACGTTTATATATTTATAGGAGTATTGTCATTTTAACTATTTTCTTAAATGTTTATGAATTTAATGGCAAAATTTTAATTCTTTAGACTTATACATGAATATCTCTTATTAAATTTCATCAGCTTCTCTTTGAAAGTGCTTATCTTTTTGTGGTTAAAAAATTATATTCTTCACCCAAAAAGGACCATATTTGTATTATGAAAATTTGGCTGACTTTCGTTTTCATTTCCCATTAGTTTTTGACATCGCTTCCCAAATTCAAATGTTATACCTGCTTCTGAGTCTATGCATGGGTTGGACAATAGTCAGAATGAAGAAGTCTCAAAGCAGACCTCTCCAATGGGATTCTACTCCTGCATCCACTGGCATTGCTGTGTTCATTGTCATCACACAGGTGAGGGTTGATACTCAATACTTCTGCTTTGCAATATTCAGAAATGCAGACTTGAACATACCTCCTTTCAAAATGGAAACCTGGGATCCATGAGGAGTTTGTGTCATTTTAAAGTATGAGTTTAAAGAGTGGTAGATCAGATAACCTCTTAATCTTCTGAGTGGTGGTATATGTAGATTGCAAAATTTAATTATTTACCTGAATTTGACCTTTTTAAAGCTATGTTTAATATTAGGTTAGATTCTCATTTCCTACTTAATAGCTTTCTTTCATATTTTCTAACACATAGTAAGTACTCAACATTAAATGAGTGAATCAATGAATTTGAGATTTACCCATTGGCAAGAATCTTTAGGTCCAGTTCTGCTACTATATACATGAAAGAATTCTGGTGAATACCTGAGATCAATGAAAAAGCAAAATATAGAATAAAAAAGAATGGGATCTAGCTTTTGAAAACAAATACAAAAACAAATTTTGCCTTTTTGAAAGGTCTTCTATGCCTTTTCTTTTTGTTTTCCTCGATAGCAATAATACTGATGTTATTCTAGGATCTCCATATGCCTATTGCAGTGGATTTATAAAAACTAAGAAGAAAGGTATAAACATAAAAATTTATACTGAGTTTGTGACCATCATTAGCTATAGATGAAAGTGAAATATTTACCTGAGCTCTGTAAAGGACATTATAATCTAAGTCTTAATGCATTAAATAAGTTGGAAAATCCATCAGTGAAGGCCATGGCCTATGCTTTCTTCATCTCTGTAGCCCTCGTGTTTATTTCATGCAGTAGGTGGTGAGTGAAGTGGGTGTACTGAATATAGATGATTGATCTGAGAAAGAGACCATATCACAGGTGGGCTATTTAGAAAGGAGATAATGCCAGGAAGGGAGGGCTAATGAGAACTGAATTACAAGTGATTAAAATAAGGGCAAGATTCTTCCAGCTTAGTATTTTTGATTCAGGACTTATGGAGAGTAGTGTTAATATCAGGTTGGATTCTCATTTTTCAATTAATGGCTTTTTTAAAAATTGAATTTTCATTGTAATTTTAATTCATTTTCATAGACAAATACAAATTGAGAATTGAGATTATGGCACTACTCTAAAGTTTATGTGAGCATTTATAAAGAATACATTAGTCGTGGCTCTGGTTATCAACAACAGCCCAAACAAGGTGAATGAAACAGGCACCCAGAGACTACTAAATACACATAGATATTCCACAGGTCACATTAGCATAAGTATGTGAAAATATGAGAATTCGAATCTGTAAAAATATGAATCACGAGAAATGGCAGTTCTCTTTTTTTTGGCTTTATTCAGATATAATTGACAAATAGAAATTGTGTATGTTTAAGGTGTACAACTTGATGTTTTGATATATGTGTACATGGTGAAATGATTACCACAATCAAGCTAGTTAACACATCCATCACCTCACATAGATACCAGGATATGGTAGTTCTGTAATAGTACTTGTATGTTGTAGAAGTTAAGTTTAGACACGTAGGTTAGGAAATCAAATGTAATTTGGTGGAGTGGAGGAATAACACTTTCAGTAATAGAGAGCAAATATTCAGCCTAAGGGGGCTGGCCGTGTGGCTGAGTGGTTAAGTTTGTGTGCTCTGCTTCAGCGGCCCGGGGTTTGCTGGTTCGGATCTTGGGCACGGACCTACACACTGCTCATCAAGCCATGCTGTGGCAGCATCCTACATAGAAGAACTAGAATGACTTACAACTAGGATATACAACTATGTACTGGGGCTGTGGGGAGAAAAAAAACAAAATAAAAGAGGAAAATTTGCAGCAGATGTTAGCTCAGGGCCAATATGCCTCACCAAAAAGCATACCTTTAAAAAAATGTATATATAGTCAACGTAAGAAGGAAATTCATGTGTACAGGATGACAAGGAGTTCACCTATCAAGAATGATAGTAGGAGTAAAATTAGAGTAGAAGATTTGAGGATGAGAAAAGGAAGAGATTTCTGGTAAACCCCATAGAGCCTGAGAATTGGATTTAATAATTGAGTTTTGTTCTAAATTCTTTGGAAACCACTGAAGACTCAATTCTGAGGGCTGAGTTGGCAGATGAAGGAAAAGCAGAGGGATACTGACATGTGATGGTAAAAACATTGCAGTAATTTAGGGGATTGGTGTTTGGTAGAGGTGGAGGGGACGTGGACACTGACTTCTACTGAATAGCAATAAACAGAACAGCTCAATGTGGAACTTGCTGAGCTTTCTTCTGTTGCAGTAACAACATGGGAGAAGAGGTCAGCAAACAAGCAAAGAGAGATAACCATGCCCTGGGGGCTTATAGTAAATATTAAAAATATCCTCTCCTTCACCCAGGGAGGTTACTATGGAACAAGGGTGGTCTGAAATCAACAATTTTGACTTACTGTCTGGATTACAAAAGATAATGAGATATTTCAAAGTTATCCTGAGACATGGGTTTGCATGCAGAACAGTTTGATTCCTAATAAGGGGTTGAAGTAAGAAAGATGATTTGGAAGAAAGTTTATATTTATTCTCTTAACCATTTCAACTGATTTTCATCCTTCGAGCTGTCTTACTTGAATTGTGGTAGCAGTGGCATTTTTTGTCTTTTGCCTGTCGTCTCATTTGATAAGAACCCCTTTTCTCTAGCTTAGGGTGTCAGCGAGGGGAACACTGCCTGTGTTCTGTTGCTTGACAGCCTTTAGAGTCTGATCAATCCTAGAACCTCTTAGGAATGTCCATATACTGTTTAAGGGGATGTGTAAGAGTTGAAAAAAGTACTTTGTTGTAAGTAGGTATGGGTTTTTTTTTCTCTAAACGTAATATGTTTTTTGCAGAGTATTTTGCTACTTTGGGAACAGTTTGAAGATGCCAGTCCTCACAGCTACCATTCGCACCACAACTTAGCCGGGGTCCTCCTGATCATTTTAAGAATCTGCCTGGCATTGTCATTAGGCTGCGGACTCTACCAGATCGTCACGGCGGAACGAAGTACTCTGAAAAGGGAGTTCTACATCACGTTTGCCAAGGTACGGCTGGGTTAGAAAACGGCTTCTTCTGATCAGCTTAGTTCTGCTTCTTTAGGAGTTAATAAGCCACCACGTACTAACGTTTATTAAATTTTATTATGCTCCAGGTACTACTGTAAGCCCTTTATGTGCTTCAGTTAGTTTAATCTTTGCAACCTGTGAGACGTAGATATTATCCCCATTTTACAGAACCCGTGGAATAGTTGTTTCCATATAATCTTTGGCAGGTCAATTTTGCCTGGCTCATAATTTCTTTATCAATAGGGATGTTACGTTTTTTTCTGTAGTATCAGAATTTAAGAATTTTTTTGAATTAGAATATGGTATGCATTTCTCAAAACAGTTATTAATTGACTTTGGAATTTTCCTCTCAGAATTATGTAATGTTCTTTAACGCACTGTGAGGAGCTATCCTTCAGCATAAGCAGATGGACCGGAAGGCTGAGTACATCTTATGCTCCAGCATTTCCCCGCATCCATATGAGATCATGTTCACTTTGTTCCCCCCTCTATGTCCTTCTTATGCTAGTGAGATCTAAAAACAAATTTGAGTTTTTCTGTACCATACCCATTTAATAAAGGGGAAAATCGGGAGCCTCCCTCCCTAGAAGGTTCTGTTTTTCCGTCAGATTGAGAGTTCATACCCCTTCATCTTGACAACTCAACACAGTGTTCTGATAAGCTGTTCAGTCAGCGCCCCCTCGTCCCTGGCTGTCCGAGCGGTCCACGGCCACTGTGGAAGCGGGGCCCAATGCCTCCTTTACTCCTGCTGTGCAGCTTGTCGGAGCTGCAGCCCTGGGAACCCCTCAGGCTTCTGAGTCCCAAACAGGCAAGAAAATACTGTTTTGCTCTTGAACTTTTCCCAGGGACAGTAGTGCTTATTGTTTGAAAAGTTAGTATATATTGAAGGTGTTTAGAAACTAAATTTTTTCTTTTATGTTTAAAACAATACCAAACTTTTTTCTTGAACTTAAAAAAAATTATGTGTTTTAATTGAACTTTTGAATAGGTTCATACATCCAAAAATGTTTAAAGAATAGCAAAACTTGTTTCTTACCTCTCTCCCGTCTACTCAGTTATCACCTACTCGTAATTGCTGCTACTAATTCCTAATTTCTCCTTCCAGATAATTTTTAATATATATGCCTACATATTTCCCTCCATTTTTATATGAATAGTGCATGCTAAACACATTTTTCTACGTCTTTTTTTTTGCCTGTGTCTTCAATATACTAAGCATCTCAACAGCTACTATTTATTAACTTATTTTATTTCAAATTTAATTTTGGAAAAGAGAATATGTTACCATGGTTCCAGGAAAAATATAAAAGAGATATTTGAAAAGTATAGTGTTAAAAAGTTTCCCATTCTTACTCTCCGACTTCCACTCTCTTCTGTGCTAACCCTCAAACAGGTAACCACTATTAATCAGTTTTTGTGTATTCTTACAGAATTTCTTTGTGTATCTACGTGTAAACGTGAATGTACATTTTTAATTTTTTCAGAAATATACATTTATACCTTTTCTCAATTATTTATTTGTTACTTATATTAATGTATTTGTACTGTATCAAAATGTGTGTACATAAAAAGATTTAAGATTTTAAATACTCCAGAATATACCCATTTAATTAGAAACAAAATGTTAATGTCACAGCCACAGCAAATGTATTTCTGCATTTTGTTGCAAGTTCTACTCTAAAAGCCAATTGAGATCAATCAAGACCTCCTAAATATACTAGAAATGTTTTTTATGTGGTATATTGTGAAAGTAAAGATATAGCTGCACTTACTTGACTTATTTTCATTCATTTCAGGGCTGTATCTTGTGGTTTCTATGCCATCCAGTTCTTGTATGCATTTCTGTCATTTTTAGTGAATACCAAAGAGATAAGGTAAGTAATATACATGATTAAAATAGCTTTTTGTAGTCTGTATTGGGAAATTATTAAAGAAAGAAAGACCTGTTTATTCATTCAGAGGTTTCTTGAGTTCTTTAAAATAAAACTTTGAAACAAAATATTGAAACAGTAATTATATAAATTAGAAGTTTAAAATACAAAAGAAAAATTTTAAGTTTAGTTTTTAAGCAAAATGATGGAAAATAGCTTTTGTTATTCTTATTTTAGCCAATTTCATAATACTGTTTTATAAATAGAGAATTTGTAACACATCTTTTTGTTAAGAAAAAATTATTAAAATGTTTTGCTACGTAATTGTAAAAATTAAGATAGATTTGTAAAAATTGGTCTAGTTGCTCCAACAGGCTACAGACTGGAGCCACGCTCGAGTCTGCCACATTCTGTGTGCGTTGATACCTACCTTCTTTGGTGAACAGCTCCATCATTTCAAAGGGGAGTTCTGCCAGGAGCCCTTTCCAAGCAGTGCAGTATGTGCTTGAACACACCAATGAATGTTGGGCCTGAGGTATTTATAGTGGGTACATAGATAGGAAGCTAGTCTACAAAAATAGAGAAGCGACGAGAATTTTCGAAGGGGCCTTTAGAATTCTCTTCAAGATTCAGGTAGGGGCATGGTTTATTCCTGTTACTAGATTGGCCAGGAACCTGATTTTTCTTATTACTTTCTGTAGTGTGTGCACCCTGAGGAAAGAGTGGTTTAGCAAATTATTCTTTTATGTCTTATTGTGGCATCTGTAAACTGACGCTTAAAGGAATTTTGCCTTTGAACAATTACAGTTCTGAACATTAGTCCTATTGAAAATTTCTTTGATAAAATGCACCCATGGTAAATGTGGAGGATAGAGTAGTTATATAACAGATATATGTTTATATAAAATATGTAAGTTCATGATAAATTGAATATAATTTCTCTGTTTCTGCATGTAATAAAAGCATTCCCTTTCTTTTCTTTTCAGGTTATTACAATAGGTGTCATCCTTTGCCAGTCTATTTCCATGGTTATTCTCTACAGACTCTTTCTATCCCACAGTCTATACTGGGAAGTTTCTTCGCTTTCCTCTGTAACACTACCACTGACCATATCATCTGGACACAAAAGTCGGCCTCACTTCTGATACTTGATTTTCTCTAAAGGAAAAGTGAATCTATTGAACAGAGTGCAATAAGGATCCAAATACAGTGACTTTTTTTTTCATACTTTTCGTATGAAAAATTGAACAGAGAAAACAGAGCATGTTATTTATACAACTGCATTTAAGCAGTATCAAAACTGAAAAAGGTTATAAATGAAATGTTTTGAAATAAACTTAATAAACTTTCAAGAAAGAGTGTTGTTATAAGGTGTTTTATGCAATTTCCATATGGAAATAAAGATTAAAAAGAATTATATGATATTTTGGTAAGTGATTCACCAGTTAGAATGCCTCATCTTATATCAATGGTAACTCAGGTTTGATAGTCTTATAAAAAGTAATCAGTTAAATGATTACTGCTTATACATATCTAAACTAAGTCCAGTTATGAAATCAGTGTAGTACACTGATTAAAAACTGCTTCCTTTTATGCTGTAAGGAAATGCATTTTATATTGGAGTGTAAAAGAATTGCAAATGAAATTATTTCAGAAAATGAATATAAAATATATTCGTGGTTCAATGAATAAGCCTTTGTTTATTTGTGGGTGGGGTTATTCTCCACTTTCTTCTATCACCTTTGGCTCTAGTTCAGGTCTTAGCTTGATTAGCAGAGGGTTTTTGACGGATATTCTATGACAAATACAACTTAGACACATTACGTGGGCTGTAAGGACAAAGGGTTTTAAAATCCTGAGCACTTAGGTGAAGGGAAAGCAGGTTTACATGTTTAAAAAGAAAGAAGGAAAAAGTACTATGTGATATGGTACTAAAATTTTAATCCTGATATAATTCATTTCTCTTACACTGAATCCCCAATCATAATTAAGCCGTATACACAGATTAAATTAACAGAAGCATTTCACATAAATATTGGTTTCAGTCATCAACTACCCATGAATTCCTGCCCAAGGATACTTAATCAGGATTAAATTTTCTATGAATAATTGAAAAACAAAATACTCACTGGATTTGTTATAATCCGTGTTGGCACTGGATTCTAAGTAGTTGCCATCTTGAATCCTTTGTAATAAAGCCATATTTTTTGTGTATGTGATGCCCCAGTATTGAGTACGCTAGGTAAAAAATACTCTATGAAGTGCCTATTTAAAGAATTGCTAAGTGGTTGTCAGTACCTGCTGTATAAAATGAGTATTCCAATTAATAGTCTCTGATTAGTAATTATTTTGTTCCTGTTTGTCCAGTTGTTTAGACCTTTTCGTTTTTACCTCTGGCTTATTTAAAAAATATTTTTTTTATCTGCTTTCAAAGGTATTACATGTTTACGCAAGAAATGGTACACTGATCTGGCAATTAAACTTTTTAATTAAATAGTTAAAATAATGTAGCACAGCTTAAAAATATCTGTGGCTTCCTCTTTGTTTCTTCCCTTACACCTAGTCTCATGGGAAATGAATAGTATTCTGCTTCATTTTAAAGGCAAAATGTACGTGTTTGTGGCTAGCAGAATGACAGAGCGACAGAGTTCAGCCTGCTCATTACGTCATCTCTCACAGTTCTTTGTAAATTATTTAATAAATGAGAGCCACAGGTTGTGACTCGAAAGTCTGAGGGATATTTTAGGTTTACATGGTCTGCCGAGTGGTCATGACCTTTCTTTTTACCACATCTCAATAATAACCCCAGTTATTGTCTGTGGTGCAACTGAGGTGCAGTTAAGCTGAAAGAAAAAAGTGAAAAAAGCCTTTTCATAAATGTTGTGAACTTGCGACAATGGGAAAGGAATCATCTTTGTGTTACCTTAAACAAAGAACATAGAAACTGTAATTAACATATATGACAAATATTACTGTGCTTGCATTTTTGAGACTTTACCAGGTTTTGTTTTTACTTTGTTTTTTAATTTATGGTTGAATTTGCTGATAATTTATTTTGTTATTCAAGAGCCATTGTTAAATGAAGGAAAACAGTTGTTAATGTGTAAAACAGTTGTTAATAAAGTTTAGTAATCAGAGCTCAAGTTTATACTTAAGTCATGACACAGCATCCCTCTTTTTCTCTTTCTGAATGTTTACCTGGAGATTTGTCACCACAGACTACAGAAAGATAAGTGTATACTGCGAACTCTAATTAAAGATCAAAACTTTTCTACTTTTCTTTCTCTGTTAGATAATGCTTTTTTAAAAATCTGTTGTTACTTTTTTTCTTTAAAAAGATGAATGGTCTGTCCAGAGCTTTTTTCTTTTCCCCCTCCAGAAGCGTTTTACTTCTTCACTTACGAAAGTATAGAAGATGTTTATTTCCATCGCCATGGCTAATGTTAGCTCCTGCCTACCTGAGTGCCTCCTGTGCATCAGGCCCTTCACACCCACCCCCTAGCTCTGTCACACAGACCAGGCCCCCTTAACTGAGGGCGAGAGAGACTCTGATTCCCCTCAAGTCCCCTGACTTCTCTTTCATTTGTCTCCTCTCCCCTCATGACTTAATGATGAAGCCGGCAAGGAGTTAGCCATGATTAAGTAGCTAAGAACTAAAGCTTTTTCCTTTTTGCGATTACTGATTATAGCCTTTAGCTGCTTAACCTGTCTCTTGTTAACTGTGCTGCTTAGGCAATATGCTCTCTGACTCCCACTAGGCTCCTAGAGAGAACATCTCCCTGGAGCCTGCGTCACCACGGTAATGGGTGTTTGAGCTATTTTTCAGGAATTAGAACTCCTTGTCCACTTCAGGCCAGTTGAGACCACCAGCTTATCAACTGGGCCTGTGGAGATGTCTGGTAGGCGACCTTTGGTGACATCAAGAGGCTAAAACCTCCACCCTCAGATCATGCTAATGCTGCCATTTTGTGAACATGGGTCCTATGAAGAGGCGTGAAGTCTGACTACGCTTGCGCAGATCATCAATTACCTCACCGCCTCACCTCCAATCACCTCTCTCCACGTTTCAGACCACTTTGCCCCCATCCCATAAATATCCCTGAGTCCCTGTTTTCAGGGAAGCAAATTTGAGGCTCATGCTCTCACTTCCTCACATGGCTGCCTTGTGAGTAAACTCTGCTGTAATCTCGCCGTCTCGGTGTTTGGCTTTCTGGGCGGCGGGCAAAAACGAACGTGGTTTGGTAACAATGAGTACCTATTAGGAATGTCTGTTTTTAGTGAGAATGAACGGCTATCCATAGTTAATTCTGGCTGTTGATTTTAACATTAATCCTGGAATTGTGCTGAACCGGAAACGAGTGTGCGTGTCTGTAAGTGTGTACCTCAGCACACTTCAGTATTTGAACCTTGCTTTCAGTCAGACCTTATCGTTAGCAGGGAGAGAGAAGCCAGGCAGAAGAGCTGGCTTTAGGAACAGTTTTCATGATCTCAAGGAAGGTAAGCCAAGTCTGAGTTGGTCTAAAGCCAACGCTAACATAATGAGACTAGAACTTGTCCATCAACGTGAACGTTGGCCCCTTCAACATGCTTCCCTTAGGAGGCTGTGTATGTTCTCTGGAAATCTGAAATTATTTGTGAAACGGTCTCTTTAAATAGCTTTCGTGGTGTCAAATCTTTGAGGTTTTTTGTTTGTTTTTGAGAAGCGATGTGATAATCAATTTGAGACCAGATCTGAAGAGATAATACTGTTTTTCTTTCCAACATGAATTCGTGAATTGAAACTAAAATAATGAGATTGATTTTCTTTTGAGATCTGAAGACTAGGGTGGAAGCCTGCTAGCCTGAACTCTTACAGTGGTTCTCTAAGTAATACTGCTGCTTCCCATAGCTGGGCAGCCTTCTCTGCACAATTCCAGGGGCATTGTGAACATTGTGCTCTAGGGGCATCGTTTACATAGAATACCAGGATGGAAGTGGCCCTTTCTCCACAAAGCAAAGGGAAATCAACTGGATGATGGAGTTCTTTGTGCTACCTCTATGCCTTATTTTAAGTTTGAAATTATTTTAAAATAGAGGTTAAAAATGTAAATCAGATCAAACTGCTACTGCCCTGTTAAAAGCTCTTTAGTTGCTTCCCACTGCACTTAGGAAAAAAGTGATCTATGCTCATTTCCACATTCTACAGGGCCCCACACAATCTGATCCCTGCCTCTGTCTTTGATCTCATTTCGTGCCACTTCCCCTCTCACCATACCCCAGCCTCATCATCAAAAAATGCTTCATTTATGTCACTGCCTCAGAGCCTTTGCATTAGCTGTTTCTTCTGTCTGGAATATTCTCTTGCAAATCTTGGCATGGTTGCGTGGCTGAATCCTCCTCATCCTTCACGTTCTCAGCTCAAATGTCTTTCAGAGACCTCTGATCATCTGTGGTGAATTTATATGGTGCCGATTTAGCTAAGCTGGAGATTCTTCCTAGAATTCTCCCTGCATAGTTCCACGATAGTGTGTGTCACAAGAGACGTTTGGTGCGAGACTTATAAGGCAGAAGTAAAGTAGCCAGATCCAGATTCTTTTTATAATTGAAAGGTCCACGCAAGGCATGCACTGTTGCTGCTCACCCACGTTGTTGCTTATCTGCTGACTCATGTTCTTGGTCTGTGGGCCAACGACCAGGCCCACAGGAACGCCAGCTCCTGCTGGATCACCTCCTTTAGCTTCTCTGACTCCCGGGCCAGGTGTGTCTGTATTATTCCATGATGAAGGGTGCCAGGTTCTGCAGGAAAGTCCCATCATTGAGGATGGAGGCTTGAAGGCAGTGAGAGACTGGCATGGGTTCCAGTCCATCCTCACGAGTTCCACTCAGCTCCATGGGTTCTGCTCATCCTGGCAGCCTCCAGTGTGTCCTTGCTTCCCCCACATCACATCCGTCTTCCCTTCCCACATGCCAGACACAAAAGGAACAGCCTCCTATAATCCCTACAAGAAATCCCTTATTTTATATGTTAAAGATGTGTGTGTGTGTTAAATCCTACTGCTTCTCCTTTTCTGATCAGATGCTGACTATTAAGCCATGCTGTCTAATGCTGCTCCCCCATCCTAATCGTTCTATCACATTATCCATTTTCTCTTTATAGTACGTACTGCTTTATCTTTGCCCATTGCCTCTCTCCCCAGTGAGAATGTAAATTCTAGGGCTGTTTGGCCATTGTCTGTATTGTTCACTGCCGTATTCCCAGCACCTAGAACGTTCCCTGGTGCATATTAGATGCTCAAAAATATTTTTGAATGAACGAGCGAAAGCAATTCTGAAAAAAGAGTTCCAGCCATGTGCTTAGCAATATAACATTAATTAAATAGTAGAACCTCTCGCAGTGACTTCAATAATGCTTTGCCTGTTCTTTGTTCAATTATGGAACTGAGAATGTATAAATATCTTGAGTAGTTGTTATAAAGTCTAACCTCTAAAACTCACCAATTATGAGAGGATTCCTCTAGTTGTCAGAGAGGCAGTTTCCTTCTGTTTTATATAGTTCAGTATTAGGACCGCGTGTCTGATTTCTTAGCCCACCACAGCTAAAAGCACCAATTTAAAAGAAGTTTGAGTCAGCTAGGGGAAGGAATGTTGAGGGTAGTCAGAAGCAGCTGGGAGCAGACAGAAGAACTAAAAATGACAACACTCAAATCATAGCAGCTTGGGGTCATTCAGTGTGGGTGAAAACAGCCCTGTGGTCCCAATAGACTCAGAGCTTTTTTTTTTTTTTTTTTTTTTGAGGAAGATTAGCCCTGAGCTAACTACTGCCAATCCTCCTCTTTTTGCTGAGGAAGACTGGCCCTGAGCTAGCATCCATGCCCATCTTCCTCTACTTTATATGTGGGACACCTACCACAGCATGGCTTTTGCCAAGCAGTGCCATGTCTGCACCTGGATCCAAACAGGCAAACCCCGGGCCACCAAGAAGCAGAATGTGCACACTTAACTGCTGTGCCACCGGGCCCGCCCCTAGAGCTTTCTTGTTCAATGTGATTCATGACAACTGCCCTTAGTAATCAAAAGATTAAATTATAAATTATGTTCGGTATCCTCAGAGAAATGTGCAAATACATTGTAGTATTTTATTTGTTAAACAGGTAACATGTGCACATTATACAAAAATCAGAAGGTTGAGAAGGGTGAAAAAGTCAGTCCCACTCCCAGCCACTTGTTTCCTTTCCCTTGATCGAACCTCTGTTACCAATTTCTTGTTTAGTTTTCTAGAGGTGGCTCCATGGATATACAAATATACATAGATATGAGATACAGATTATAGCACACTATACAGATTATTTTGTACATTCAGCAGTTTATTCTGTGTTCTACCTACAGAGTTGTCCCATTCATCAATTGCATAGAACTCCATTATATGGATTATTTTAATTTTTTTAAAATCAGTCCTCTGTTACTGGACATTGTTGGTTTCCAGGCGTTTACATTACAGGTAGCCCCTAAATCCTTGAAATAAAAAGTTTGCCTGGCCCTTTTCCCCTCCTCTCAACATCCCCCTTCTGTCAGCCCCCGGCCCCCCTCCCCCACTGCAGGTGACTCAGGATGAGGGCTGAGGGCTGGCCACACCAGAAAGACAAACCATGTGAGTAGAGGATTGAGGCTTTAAGTCACAGTGATATCAGCCTGACCTGGGAGGGAAGAGGGGCTGGGGATTAAGTTCAACCTTGTGGCCAATGATTCAATCAATCACGTCTAAAATGAAACTCCAACAAAAACTGCAGATACCGAAGCTCAGGTGTGTTTGTAGATTTTTTTTTAATACAAGTGGAATTATCAGTATTTTTTAATGGCTTTTGTGTTCTACCTGTGTCACAGGTAGAATAGCCTTACCTCTTTGAGATTATGTTTAAATCCACCATATTTTCTTCTAGTAGTTTTATGTTTTATTTTTTATGTGTAAAGTTTTGATCCACTTGGAATTTATTTCACTGTAAAATATGAACTAGGGATCCAACTTAATTTTTTTCAGGTGGTCGTCTACTTATTACAATATCACATGTTGTGTAACCTACCTCTTATTTACTGATTTGTTACTAATCTATTTCTGGACTTTTAAGCCTGTTCCAATGAACTGTTGATTCATGATATAGTACCACACTGTTTTAATTATTATAGCTTTAAAATATGCCTTGGTCTGGTAGGGAGATTTTCCTGTTAGTGTTCTTCTTTTTCATAATTTTTCTGATTATTCCTGCCAACTTTTTCATATGAAATTTAGAATCAATTTTTCTGACTTCAAAAGAAAAACAAATCCTGTTTACTATTTTTAGTGGGATGAATTAAATTTCCTATCAATGTAGGGAGATGTTGGATGTTAATCCCACAGATGGTAGCTCATCCTTTTGGTTCCTTAGCCAAGCATATTATCAACTGTCTGAACCTTTGGTTGCTTCCATAGTGATACAAGAAATGATATTAAGTACCTTTCTCTTTCCTAAATGCAAGCACATATTCATCAATCACTTTTTAAGGACTTCTTTATATGGATCTTGTACATTTCTTGATACCCCTGGATAGTTTAATGTTTTCTTTCATTATATCTTAGCATGTGGCTGTTGTTTTACATATGAGGACTGTTGATTTCTGTATTTTAATTTTTCTCCCCATCACCTAACTGAATTCTAACAGTTGGAATAATTTTCTAGTTGGTTTTCTTGTATTTTATAGGTAAGCAATCATGTCATCTGTATATAATGATCATTTTTATTCTCTCCTGTCCCTTTTTTACCTCTCATTTTTACCCCCTTATTGCTGGTATCTCCAGAACAGTCTTAATTAGTTTTGGTAACATGGCAGTAAGATTTCTACATTCCACATGAAGTGGTTCCAGGTAGACTTTGACAAGTTAAATATGTATATTGTAATGCCTAGAGAAATAGTTTTAAAAAAACTATACAAATATTTTACCAAAAATACAATAGGAAAACTAAAATGGAATACTAAAAAAATGTTCAAATACCCCCAAAGAAGAGAGGAAAGGGGGAACAGAGGAATTGAAAACAGAAAGAAACAGAAAAAGTAGTCGAAAATGTACAATAAAATTATAGACTTAAATCCAAACACATCAATAATTACATTAAATGTAAAAGTTCTAAATATGCCAATTAAAAGACAAAGATTGTCAGAATAGATTTTCTTTTAATGTCCAAACTATATGCTTTCTACAAGAAAGTCACTTCAAATATAATGATATAGGTAAGTTAAAATGAAGTTATGGGAAAAGATATACAAACAATAATCAAATGAAAGTTGAATGACTTTATTAATATCAAAGTAGACTTCAAAGTAACAAAAACTACCAGGGATAAAAAAACGATGAAAAAATAAAAGGATCAATTCACCAACAAGAACTTACAATCCTAAATGTATACACCCAACAGCAGATCTTCAAAATATATACAGCAAAAACTGACAGAACTGAAAGAAGAAATAGACAAACCCATAATTATAGTTGGAGACTTCAATATTCTTCTCTCAGTCATCAATAGAATGAGTAGAAAATCAGCTAGAATGAAGAACTGAACAATCACATTGATCAACTGGATCTGGTTGGCATTTATAGATCATTCAACCCAACAGTAGCAGTGTATACATTCTTTTTAGGTGTATATGGACCATTCATCAAGATCGACCATATCCTGGGTCATAAACCATAACAAATATAAAAGAATTGAAATTGTACAAAATATGCTCTCTGACCATAATCAGTCACAGAAAGATAACTGAAAAGTCTAGAAACACTTGAAAACCAAACACTTTTAAATTAACCAGGGCTTACCAAATATATTTTGAAATGACTGAAAATGAAAATACAGCATATCAAAATATAAAGTAGCTAAAATATTTCTTAGGAGGAAATTTGTAGCATTAAATTCTTATATAGAAAAGTTTTAAATAAATAATCTAAGCTTCCAACTTAAGAAAATAAAAAAGAAGTGAAAAATAACCCAAAAGCAGCAGAAGGAAGGAAATAATAAAGATGAAAGCAGATATCAATGAACTTGATCACAGAAAAACCATGGAAAAAAATCAATGAAACCAAATCTGGTTCTTTGAAAATATCAATAAAATCAATAAACCTCCAGCAAAATTGACAAAGAAAAAATGAATGACAAAAACTACCAATATCAGGAATGAAAGAGGAGATATCAGATTCTGCAGACACTAACAGGACAGTAAAGAAATACTGCAAAACAAACAAATACACTTCTACTAACATAAATATGACAATTTAGATTAAATAATCAATTCCATGGAAAGTGTATGTCAAAGACTATGACTACTTACAAGCTACTAGTTAACCTGTTAGCTACTGTTAACCTGTTAGTTACTGTTACCGCTTCATGGAGGCTGCAGAGCACATGAGACTCCTAGGTCGGAGATGAAGGACGTTATTACTCATAGAACAGCAAACATCATGAGCTTCATGTTGTTTGCATTGATTACACATATCTTCTAAGTCTATGGAGCCAATGCAAGTGGGACTAGATGGATATTATACATGCAATGGATTCATATATTCCCCAAGGAATATGGAACTTGGTGAATTTCTCTCTTTTATAACTGGCTCTGTGGTGAGTGGGAGACATTACCTCATCCTACTCTCTGCAAACACGGCCTTGAGCAAGGCCCCAGATAAAAAGTGATTAGAGCCTTGCATTCTTGGCAGACCCAGGAGGAGTAGGTAGGGATGCATAGAACCCGTGGTGGATCGCTCCTTCCAATACCACACACTACCAAAACCCACTCAAGATGAACTAAATATCCAAAATAGTCCTGTAACTAAAGAATTCTTGTTTAAAAGCCTTCTAAAATAGAAATCTCCAAGCCCAGATGGTTTCACTAGTGAGTTCTACCAAACATTTAAAGAAGAAATAACACCAATTCTATACGATCTCTTCCAGAAAAATATAAGAGGAGGGAGAGGAAAGCGCAAAGGCAATTCAGCGGAGAAAAGAATGTCTTTTTGACAAACAGGGTTGAAACTATTGGACATCCATATGCAAAATAAATGAATTGCAACCTAAACCTCATACCTTATACAGAAATTAACTCAACATGAATCATAGATTTAAGTGTAAAACATAAAACTTTTAGAATACAGAGGATGAAATCTTCGTGACTTAAGGTCAGGCAAAGAGTTCTTAGCGCCAAAAGCACAAACCACAAAGGAAAATCTTGATAAATTTAACTTCATTAGAATTAAAAACTATTCTCTGCAAGACACTGTGAAGAGAATGAATGGACAGGGCCAGCCAGGTGGTGCAGTGGTTAAGTGCACACGTCCCGCTTTGGCAGCCTGGGGTTCACCAGTTTGGATCCCAGGTGCAGACATGGTGCCACTTGTCAAGCCATGCTGTGGCAGGCGTCTCACATATAGAGTAGAGGAAGATGGGCATGGATGTTAGTTAGCTCAGGGCCAATCTTCCTCAGCAAAAAGAGGAGGATTGGCAGCAGATGTTAGCTCAGGGCTAATCTTGCTCAAATAAAAAAAAAAAAGAGAGAATGAATGGACAAACTACAGTCTGGAAGTAGATATTTGTAAATCACTTATTCAATAAAGGACTTTATATAAAGAATGTATAAAGAACTCTTAAAGCCCTATAGTGAGAAGACAACCCAACAGAAAAAATGGACCAAAGTCTTGAATAGGTACTTCACCAAAGAGAATATACAGAAGACAAATTAGCACACGAAGAGGTGTTCATTTTTTCTTTTTTAAAGATTGGCACCTGAGCTAGCAACTGTTGCCAATCTTTTTTTTCTTCTTTTTCTCCCCCAATTCCCCCCAGTACATAGTTGAATATTTTAGTTGTGGCATGTGGGACGCTGCCTCAGCGTGGCCTGACAAGAGGCGCCATGTCCATGGACAGGATCTGAACCAGCAAAGCCCTGGGCCCCCGAAGTGGAGCATGGCAACTTAACCACTTGGCCACAGGGCCGGCCCCAAGAGGTGTTCAATAATTAGCTGTTAGGAAAATCTAAGTTAAAATCATGCTGAGGTACCACTACATACCTATTAGAATGGCTAAAATAAAAATACTGAAAATACCAAGTCCTGCCAAAGATGTAGAGCGACTGAAACTCTCCCACATTGCTGGTGGGGATGCCAAATGGTACGGCCATTCCGGAAAACAGTTTGTAGTTGCTTATAAAGTTAAATAAATTATCATATGACCCAGCAATCCCACTTCTGAGTATTAACCCTAGAGAAGAGAAAACTTATGTTCAAACAAAAATCTGTAAACAAATATTTATAACAGCTCTATTGACAATCGAGAAAAACTGGGAACAACCAGATGTCCTAGATTGACAAAGTGTGATATATTTATACAAAGGAATAGTATCGGTAATAAAAAGAAATGAATTATTGATTCACACAACTTGGATGAGTCAAAGACATTATGCTAAATACAAAAAGGCAGTCTTAAAAGGTCATATACTGTATGATTCCATTTAGATGGTATTTTCAAATAGACAAAACTGTAGTGATAGAAAAAAGATCAATGGTTGCCAGGAGTTACAGGTGGGAGGAAGGTATGACAATGAAGGGGTAACACCAAGGAGTTTTTTGAGGGTGATGGAACTTTGTATCCTGATTGTGGTTGTGGTTACAGCAATTTATACATGTGTTAAAATTCAAAGAACTGCACATGAAAAAAGTCAATTTTACCATCATAATTTAAAGCATAAAATAATTTTTTTAAATGGATGTTGGATATTGTCCAATGCCTTTCAACATCCAAGAATATGATGATATGATTTTTCCCTTTTGTTCTGTTAATATGAGTACTATTAATAAATTTCCTGATGTAGAACCATCATTCAATATATTTTTGAAAGTTTTACCATCCAAAATGGATGAGATTTTTTTAAAGTATGGGATATTTAATAGGGTATAAACTTTAGACTGTTGGAAGCATGAAAATATTTCAGATTCTCTCATTCCTCGAGGTTGTCTTTAAGGACAAGACTCATATGTGTTTGTTCTAAAAAGTGAATTTAAAATCAGTTGTATTATTTTGAATTTTTGCTTTGTGCTTCACTTATATTTCATATTTATTGCCACTAGATGCTTTAGAGTATAGCTGACTGGGTTTAAAAGGTGCTGAAATCTTTCATATTTAGAAGGCATTATGATCTACTGGAAAGAGCATGGACTTTTGGAAAGACAGTTGGATTTCAAATCCTGGCTCTACCATTTTTCAATGATTTTCTCTTATGTAATTGGTTTTGGGAGCAAACAGTGACTCCTTTGCACAGAGAAGGAGTCTTACTGAGTAGAGTGAGGAGTGAGATGTGAGAAATGGCTTCTCTTATTACAAACTCATGGGATTGTTGTAAAGATTGTGTGTGGTACTTGTGCCCACTCAGTACAGTGCTCTTTATTTATAGACCTGAAGGTTGTGTGCAAAACTTTCAGTGAACCTGAGGTTCTTCCTAATCTACTCATCCATGGAGATAATATTTAAATGTCCCTGAGATGAAAGTGTTTGTTTTAAATAATCATACATATGTGGTTAGAACCAAAAGTAGGTCTGATTGGAATATGTTCAAGATTCTGTCTAATTCACACACGACTACATTCCAATTTACACCCACACAAAGTAAACTTTTAAATCTCTTGCCTAGCTTGTGAGCCTTATAGCTCTTTTGGAAGATTAGTTTTTAAGACTGACTTAGAACTTAGAGTTCTAAAAGGGTTTTTTTCGGGGGCGGGGGGTGGACTTTTTTAAGTGGAAAGTGGTTTCTTCCCAGATATACCAATTGCTATGACTGGAGTTCCTCATCAAATTAGTAAACTGTAATCTTCTTTATTTCCTTTTGTAAGACATGAGGTTTTATAGGAATAATGATATTCAATAGTTGTTCAAGTTTAATGTTTCCAAACAGTCCTTTTAAACCCCTGTAAATTCTATTTTTGATTGTTCCTCACAGCATGTTGAGTGCTTCGTAAAGCTAACCTGAGAATTCAAGATGGAAAGCATTCCTGGCATAGTAAGGTCAGGCTTTAAACACGATAGCAAAAATTCCAAATAATACAGCTTCTATCTAGGTTTCAAGATCACAGATCTCTCACCTTGTTGAATATAAATTCCCTTACAGACATCAAGGTTTCACTCCCTGCTCTTCAGCTTCCAGGAACCCATCTCTCACATCTGGCCACTCCTTGCTCCATCCAGTATGACCCCTTCACTCTGTGGAAAGAATCACTGTTTGTTTTGAACCAGATGTTCTCCCGCAGGGCTCTGCTTGAAGTCGGTAAGGCAATATTTCCTGCCCTTTGTCTTCTTGTTTTTCATACTTCTACTCTTTATCATAATGTTGTTTTGGTGTTTCTGGTTCTTGATGATACACCACTGTCAGCTCAAGCTTATGCTGAGTTTCAACAGCTGTGACATGTCTAAACTGCATTATCTTGAAAGTGTTGGCACTAGTGAAAAATAGAAAGGAGCCAAATTAATAAAACAAAACATTTCACAGGGTTCCTATGGATACGTCCTGACACCAGGAAGCACACATTGGGTTGAGTTGACTCATTCAGCCTGTAATAGCCTCTCCTATCTGACTGCATCATTTGTGTACACACCGTATAAATATGTGCTTGAGGAGAATTGGACCATCTGATGATTGCGATCCCGTCACTAAAGGTGTGACTTTTTGCCTGTAAAATCCATTCTTAAATGGGTTATTGTGTTTGAAGTGATTTATTGCAATCTTTAGAGATAAAATATGAATACTGTACGAGGGGTGTGGAAACCAAGGTGCAAAATGGTATGTTTTATGTAGAGGAGTAATCAGAAAATAATGAGCATGCATTCTAAGAAGGGTAAAGTCACTCCAGTGGATTGAAAAGACTTCCTTTTATTGCAAGTTGAACCGGTGCAGAGCTGGACTCAGGCAGTAATAAAGTGGCGCTACATTCCTTTGCATCTGATTTTATGAGAGCTTTATGTGTCAGTGCGACTTTCCTCTTTATGTATTCATATTTTAGTTTTAATATATTTGCTTAGAGTTTGATTTTTTTTTAATGAGATAAAGCTTCAGGGTGAAAATGTAATTGCTACTGTATAGCGCCTGAGTTATGAGTGGCAGGGGAGGAGTCAGGAAAGGAAGAATGTATTCGGAAGTGAAGAGCAGCTTGTGTTTCATTTAAAAAGGAAATGCTTTTTATTTCCATATATAGTGACTTTTTCTCTGGGTGATTTACCTATACCTAACCTTTTCTATTTCGTTCTTCGTCTTTTCCTTTATACTTTCTAAGAGCTTGCCTATAATGTATATTGGAAATATTTTTCCTCATTTGTGATTCCTATTTCAGTTTTGTTTGTGATTTTTTTTTTGACATCGAGAAATTTAAAGTTTTCGTGTAGTAAAATATATGAATATTTTCCTTTGGTGTTTCTGCCTTTAGTGTTCTTTAGTACCCTAAGATTACATATACAGTTATATTTTTATTCACTAATATCATGGTTTCTTTTTTTTATTAAGGTAATATTGGTTTATAACAGTATATAAATTTCAGGTGTACATCATTATATTTCAACTTCTGTGTAGACTACATTGTATTCACAAACCAAAAGTCTAGTTGCCATCCATCACCATAAATGTGCCGCGTTATTCATTTCGCCCTTCCCTCATCTCCTTCCCCTCTGGTAACCGCCAATCTGTTCTCTGTATCCATGTGTTTGTTTGTTGTTGTGATATGAGTGAAATAAAACAATATTTGGCTTTCTCCGTATGACTTATTTCACTCAACATAATACCCTCAAGGTCCATCCATGTTGTCTCAAATGTCAAGATTTCATCTTTTTTATGGGGAGTAGTATTCCATTGTGTATATATACCACATCTTCTTTATCCATTCATCTGATGACGGGCACTTCAATTGTTTCCAAGTGTTGGCTATTGTGAATAATGCTACAGTGAAGAAACGGGTGCATATATCTTTCCCAAATTAGTGTTTTGTGTTCTTTGGATAAATACCCAGAAGTGGAATAGCTGGATAATATGTTATTTCTATTTTTAATTTTTCAAGGAATCTCTGTACTCTTTTACGTAGAGGCTGCACAGTTTACATTCCCACCAGCAATATACCAGGGTTCTCTTTTCTCCACATCCTCTCCAACACTTATTTCTTGTCTTTTTAATAATAGCCATTCTGATGGGCATAAGGTGATATCACATTGTGGTTTTGACTTGCATTTCCCTGATAATTAGTGATGTTGAATGTCTTTTCACGTGCCTGTTGGCCACCTGTATATCTTCTTTGGAGAAATGTCTGCTCAGATGCTCTCCCCATTTTTCAGTTGGGTTGCTTGTTTTTTTGTTGTTGAGTTGTATGAGGTCTTTTTATATTTTAGAGATTAACCTCTTCTCAGTATATGATTTGCAAATCTCTCTCTTTTTCCAATCAATTTTTAAATCTATTTGGGATTCACTTTGATGTAAAACAATAGTTCTCATCCAGAGCTATTCATTAGAATTACATGAGGAAAAAAATTCATGCTTGGATCCCATACCAGTGTAATTGATTTCGAATCTCTGAATGGAGTCTGGCCACGGGATCTTTTAGAATTTCTGTGGTGATCTGTGACGGACAACCAGAGTGAAGAACCACTGTGTAAAGAGTCCGGTATGAATCCAATTTTTGTTTTTTCAAATTGTTCCAATCTACTTCACAAAGATTTTCTTGAAGACTATTTATTGATATGCAAATGGTCATGTTAAAATGAGCATAGGTGAAAAAATAGTGATATATGCTTTATATATGTGTGCGTGTGTACCAATACTCTGATTCCAATTTTACACTAATGTATATAGTACTATGTAAAAGACTGAAAAAATACACCAAATCTTAATGATGATGATCTCAGGATGGTGGGACTTAAATTTCCCTATTTCTTCATTTTTGCATTTTCCAAATTCTCTACAAGGAGCAAGTATTACCCTTTATAATGAGAAAAAATTAGTTGCAAAAGAGCTTTAATTTTTTTTATTGAAGTAACATTGGTTTATAATGTTGTATAGGTGTCAGGTGTACAAAATTATAATTTTACATCTGTATATACTACAACGTGCTCACCACCAAAAGTGCAGTCTTCATCTGCCAGCTTATAATTGACTCCCTTTACCTATTTCACCTTCCCCCGACCTTGAACTTTAATATTTAGAAAAAGATTAATTTCTTGGGCCAGCCCAGCGACATAGTGGTTAAGTTTATGTGCTCCGCTTCAGTGGCCCAACGTGTGGACCAACACATCACTCATCAAGACGTGCTGTGGCAGCATCCCACATGTAAAATAGAGGAAGATTGGCACAGATGTTAGCTCAGGGCCAATCTTCCTCGCCAAAAAAAGAAAAAAAGATTAATTTTTTAAGTGATACATAGAAGATGCTGGAAATGTTTCAATTGTGTGTGACAATATTACTAGATTAAGTCTATAGCTTGAAAAGGTGGCTTGTTAGACAAGGACAAATGCGCTTGCATACATAAGTTTAACTATTTTTGCTGCAAATATTTTTACAAATAAATATTTGTTTTATATACATACATTGATTGAAATTATAACCCATTTTAAGTTTTTAAAATTTTTCTTTTTAATATTCACTTATCTTTGAGAATGTAAACAGTTTGGGAAAGATTGATAGAAAGAATCTATATATTTCAATATTTGATTTCTTTGGCCAATGAGGAAATCATAGCAGCCAGTATGGTTTTATCTTAGCTTGTGTTAGCACATTTCCTCATTTTGCATAGGGAAATCAATTTAATAATAAGATCTTGTGTTTATATAAGATTTCTAAAGACATTAGAGACTAAAAACCTTAGACAACATTCAGTCCATTCTCCTATTTACAATTGACAAGAGTTTTTGAAGACCGTTTTTTCACTGGAGCCTTACAAAAGTCCTGTATTAGGTTGGCAGCATTTTACGATATTTAACTGAATCTAACATTCCATTGCTTTTAAGACTCACCATTAATTTTACTAAGAAAGAAAAAGTGTTGCTAATCAAATTATGACATAATGCTTTCCACACACTGACTATTAGATGCATCCAATTTCAAGATCTTAAAAGTTGAAAAATATATGCATCTCAGAATCAATAAAATGCAGGCAGTATTCTCTTCAACTGAGAATACAGAAAGATGAGGAGACTTTCTTGTCCAATACACTCAGGATTTGAACTTTAATATTGAGATTGTTCTACACCATACGAACCACTAAGTTGTAGACGTTATAACTGAGATTAGTGAAGAAAGTTTTCACGTGATAATTTGTTAGGAAACTTATTTAGGCCAAATGATGAAGGTGTATGGTGGGAGACCAACCTGAGAAGCGTCGGAGACCACGTCTTTCTATCAGTCCAAGTGGCTCTCCAATTACCTGTTTAGAGACGTTTGTTTCTGCCATATTAAGCATAACATCTTATAGCTAGTAAGAGTTCTTCTGCAACAGCTTTCTGAACGACTCAGGCACCTGCTTTGCCATAGCTTTGGCATCTTCCCTAAGTGTTAGAGTGGAGTGAGGAGATGTGAAACGTTTTATCCTAAATATTTGACTGGTTAGATCTGAGCAGAGTGGCAATTGTATTTCTTAGTCCAATCTCAAAATCATAGATTTGAGAAAACATCTTAGAGATACTCTTAAAACAATTTCCTCATTTTACAGATAAGGAATCTAGAGCCTCCGGGGGTAAACATTTTGCTGAAGATCACATGGTCACATAGAGGCAGAGCCAAGACTAGAATCCAGGCCCCCAGCTCCCAGTCTAATATGCCTTTTCCACTGTTTCATCATACTCCCAGCATTCAGGGATGTGATGAAGATTATGGTTATTAAGTAATGGTAAGTGCACTGAATTTGTAAGCTATGTGCTTATTTTGACATATTTGTTTTATAAGTATTTGCTTCACCTACTTTGGGAAAAATCTAAAAAAGAAACCAGCAGTAATGACTTACTTATAACTAACAGAGTTAAAGGCATTGGCCAAGTACACCTTATTTAATGTAATCCTCTCAACAACCTTGAGAGGAAAGGCGTTCAAAAAGATTAAGTAATTTACTCAATGTTACACAGTTAAGTGACAGAATTGAGAGTGAGTCAGGCTCTAAAGCTTATTAAGTGCTACACTCTACTCCCTTCTTTTGATTAAAACCAACTACAAGTGAAGTATTTTGTACTTCATAGAAGATGGACATCCTGGGCCTCTCATGTTTGCAAAAGATACTTTGACAGACTTGCCAGAACATTCATGTCCCCAGTGGGAGAGGGGTTGGAGGGAAAACACTTTTTGGGAGAAATCTTTCATGGATGCTGTTGTGTTGTACTTGTGGGGAAGAGGAAGAAAAGGCATTCAGTTTTCCCAGGTCAATCAGCCATATAGGCGGATTTTTATTGGTAGCATAGCCTCTTTCTCACCATCCAGATTATCACTCCTTACTATACTTTTCTTGAGGCATGTTAAAGAAAATAAGATTCTTTCCTTACATTTTGTTATTGTATTTTTAAATTGTATATTGACTCATCCCATTTTGTAATTTTTAAGCATTTTTTAACTTTTGCAAATATATAACCTTGTATTACATAAAAAGATGTTGACCATGGCCTCAAAAATAAGTGTGTCATTAGGAAGAGCTGTAAAATGCGTCTCTCAGGAATAGTATGTAGCATTAACATGTAGCGCTCTCATCACAGTTTTTTATTAAAAAAAGTTTTTAATAAAATTCTAAACTTTGAATCAAACTTTGTCATGTTCACACATATTCCTGAGTGATTTTATGTACAAATGACAATGTAGGATATAAGGCTGCTAATCTATTTAAATAGACTTGGCAAGACCCTCAGGACAAAGAGGGATTGTGTTGGTTATTGTTTTTAGCTCAAAAGAACTATCTTTAAATTGTTCATTTAATAGAATTGACTTTTTTTGAAAATTATATTTATTAGTGTTAGTGTATAATTTTAAAGATGTAGCCAAAATAATCTTGAAAAAGAAGAACAAAATTGGACCCACATGACTTGATTTTAAGACTTACTATGAAGCTACAGTAATCAAGATGATATGGTTTCGGTGTAAAGATAGAAAAACAGATCAATGGAATACAATATAGAGTCCAGAAATTGGCCCACACTTATGTAGTCAATTGCTTTACAACAAACGTGTCAAGGCAATTAAATGAGGCAAGAAAAGTCTTTGCAACAAATGAAATGGCTGCAACAAATGAAATGGTACTGAAATGGCTGGATAGATGTATGAACAAAAAATGAACTAATGAACCTGCACCCGTACTTCATACTACACCCAAAAAATTCATTTGAGAGGAATAATAGCCCTTAGATATAAAAGCTAAAACTGCAAAACTTCTATAAGAAAATTTTGTGACCTTTGAGTAGGCAAAAAATTTCTTAAGACACAGAAAGCACTGAGCATCAGAGAAAGAGAAAGATGACAGAATTATATCCAATAACTCAAATTTATTATAGTAAGAGCAATTTAGGTTAGACTTTCAGAAAAATCAAAACTTTTTCATTTCAAAAGACATCATGAATAAAATGGATGGCAAGCCACAGACTGGTAGAAAATATTCACAATATGTATATCCAAAAAATGACTTTATCCAGAATAAATAAAGAAACCTTCCAAATAAATAAGAAAAAACCCAAC